AACATATTTTAAAAAATTAAAAAAGGCAAAGGGCCCAGCATGGCTCTCCTTCCCTCCTCCTCTTCCCTCACAGGGAATATCTAAGAACCCCACAAGACTTGCAATCAGGGGAGCAATGAGCAGTGACACCTTGTCCTGGCCTAACCCCCTGAACCAACCTGCTGACTGTCTCCAAGGCCCCCTTTCCTCTGACTTCCCCGTGAGCTAAATCAGCCCCACCGAGGCTCTCCTGTTGCTTCTTCTATGTTAAGCCCTTCCTTGTTTCATTGTGCCCAGCTTTTTTTTTTTCTCATTGTGCCCAGCTTTAATAAATGCACTCTCAGAGTCACCTGGGCTCGTATTGTGAAATCTTTCCTACACAAAGTCAGGAACCCACATACTGCTGGCTAGTCCTAGGCAGACCTGCTCAGAGCCAGGTCCCTTGTCCAGTAATTAATAGGTCCACACACAAAAGCCCATCAATAAATGAAGTGTGATGGGTCTGGGAGCATGTATGACCTCCCTGAGCAATAGAGGTAAGAGGGACCGGGCAGAATCTGAGAGGGGCATGTGTGGAGTGGGAGGGGAGTACTACACACTGGAGGGGTCCTTGCACCTGAGCTAATGGGGGGTACACAGCCGACTCCATACCCATTCATGAGAGCATGTGCAGGCGACACAACAGGCACAGTGCCCTAAAGGCCAAATGTTTCCTTCTCAGTGAGGTTTCCAGGCCAGTCCATATAATTCTGCACCTTGCCCCCGCCTACATTCCCAAAACCTCTCCTCTCCTCTATTTTTTCTTTTTCTACAATAGTCAGCGCCTTCTACAATATCATATCGTATGACTTGCTTATTTACTTTGTTGTTTATGTTCTGCTTCTTCAACAGGGGATCTCCACAGATCATTGTTTGGTTTAAGGTGTATCATCAACGCCAGAACTATAGCCAATATTTAGTAGGTGTTCAATAAATATCTGTCTAATGAATAAACGGATAGACGGAGGTAGAAGTGACCTGGGGGCAGGAGAACCATAATGAAACCTTGGGCAAGACCCTTTCCTTTGCTGGGTCTGTTCTGTTTATTCTGATTCTACAAAGGGCTCCAGACCCCGGAGTTGGGACTCTGCCTCCTGCCTCGGAGTTCTGGGCCTGAACATGCATCAGCCATCCTTGGCAAGTAAGGGGGTCACTCCCAACTCTGAGGTGGAATCTGCTAACCTGGGGGCTAAGGACTGAGGGTGGGGGGAAGCCTACCACCCTTCAAGTCTTTGAGAATCCCTGAGGGTCACTTGCTGGAAGCCCTGGGGCTTGGGAGCACCCGTAGTGGCCACCTGGACTCCTTCCTCTCCAGGGGAGACAAAACTGGTCCAACCAGTTCCCCTGGGCCTCACAGGATACCTGCTCTGCCAACTGAGACTTTCAAGCCACCACCTGTCATTTGTCCCAGATATTTTTAGCTTCTTCTGAAAATGGAAGTTGTCCTTTATATCAAACATTAACTTCCAGAGTTTTGGGTCAGCATTTCTCAGCCTACATGGCAGATCTTACTGGGGAAAAGCCTTGACCTCTGTGGGACAAGAGGAGATGGGTAGAATGAGTCTTGTTCTCTCAAAGTGCTGTTGTTCATTCATTCAGGAAATATTGATTGGGCAAATCCTGGACAGTTCTAGGCACTACATAAATATCAGTGAATAAATCAGACAAAAGACCTTGTCCTTGTGGACCTTTTATTTTTAATGAGGGAAACAGACAATAAAGAAATGTCTAACATAATGTCAAGGATGATGAATACTGGAGTATGATGGTGGTGGGATGGGAGCTATTTTAGACAAATTGTCCAGAGAAGGCCTCTCAGAGGGAATGACTTTTGGACAAAGGTGAATGGAGTGTGAGCCAGCCATGTGAGAATTCCAGTCAGAAGGAGCAGCAAGTGCAATGGCCCTGAGGCAGGAACTAGCTTATATGATGGAGCAGCAAGAGGGCAGGTGTGGCTGGAGTGAAAGAAGAAATATGGTAGGAGACGAGGGCTGCATCATGTAGAACCTTGAGATCTACAGAGAAAACGTTATATTTCATTCTGGAAGAGATCAAAAGCCACTAGAGGGTTTTAAACAGAAAAGTGGCATAATCTGATTCAGGCTCTAGAAAAAACCCGAAGCCTGCAGTCAAGAGAATGGATTATGCAGGGTGGGGGGAAAATAGGGAAATCTAAGAGAGACTGAGACAGTCACCCATGCAAAAGAGGCAGCCTGGACAGGATGGTGGTGACCAAGGAGATGAACAGGGGTTGGTCCAAGGAAGTGGCCAAAATAAAACCCTGGCTTATCCCAGCAGGTGAGGGCTTTAGAAATCCTAAGACCAGGCAGGAACTTGGGAGTCCTAGGTCTGAAGCCCAGATATACACATTCTAGCTTTAAGTCCTTAGGTAAGCTGCTACACCTCTCTGAGCCTTGGTTTCCCCATCTGTAAACTGAGTATGATCTAAGGGGTGTCTTGAGGACTCAGTGACAAGTAAATAAAGCACAGTGCACAGGGCTTAATACTTAGTAGACAGTAAAGTTATTAACAACTCAATTCCCCACATTTATTGCTAGAAAAACAGAGGCCAGCTAGCTTAGAGGCAGACAGAGGAGGGGGAAGGGAGAAAAGGAAGTAGGACTTACACAGTTTCTCAAGTCATATACCCACAGAGTCCAGACAGTAAGATGGATGAGTAAAGTGGTCTAGGAGCATGAAAAATCATGTGATTCTCTCTAGTCATCTTGTTCTCCCACTTTTGAGACATGGGAAATTAGAAATATTCCTCTACTCTTAGATAAATCAATGTAAGTATAGTAAGTAGAAATCAATATTCAGCTGCAGTGTCAGGGAGACAACAGAGAAGAGTGTAACGATGGCCACAGGGAATTCATGTGCCCATGGAAAAGGGCTGGCTAGCAACTTCACCTGGCTGCTCCCCACTGTGAGATATGCCAACTTTAATTTTAGAAGACAGAAATCCAGATTTCTAGATGAAATCTCCCAATTTTATTTTTTAAATATATTTTTATTGATTTCAGAGAGGAAGAAGAAGAGAGAAATAGAAACATCAATGATGAGAATCATTGGCTACCTCCTGTACACCCCACCTGGGGATCAAGCCCGCAACCCAGGCATGTGTCCTGACTGGGAATGGAACTGTGACCTCCTGGTTCATAGGTTGATGTTCAACCACTGAACAACACTGGCTGGGAAAATCTCTTAATTTTAATTAAATTTCCTAAGTGCTTCTGGATATGGGAACACAGTATAGTGATCTTGTTATTATTTCACTCTTTCTGATCCTTATACCATTTATTTCTTTTTCTTGCCTTATTGCCAATATAATGATGATGTAATAATAGAAGGCATCTTTGTCTTGTCCCTAACACAGAGGAAATGCATCTCACTTTTTAGAATTGCAGTAGGTTTTAAGTTTCATTCAATGGACAGTTTTCCCATTGACTTTTAGAGAGCAGAAGGGAAGGAGAAAGATAAACATCGATGTCACGTCGATTGGTTGCCTCCCATATGCGCCTCAACCAGGGGTGGGGTTTGAGCCCTCAACCAAGGTACTTGGCCTTGACCAGAATCAATCCCAGGACTCTTCAATCTGAAGGCTGATGCTCTATCCACTGAGCAAAAAACCGGCTAGGGCTAAATTTCATTATTTTTAAATAATTGGCTTATTTTTTCAAGGTAAACATATTTCTCTGTAGGCTGGAATCAACTAAGGGCTGTCAATTTGTGATATTTACTTTATCTAAATTCTCTGTCTGAATTGTGACAACAACTTCATTGGGTGGGTTCTACTTAGTCTCCCCATTTGACATATGAAGACAGGGCAGTTCGGAGAAGTGAAGTGACTTGCCACAGTCATACAGCTGGGAAGGAGCAGGGACAGGATTCAAACCCAAGTCTTCTGATGCCAAAATCGGTGGGACCTTGGATGCCCAGGACAGCCATTTTACACTTTATCTGTCTAGTATCTTGGGGCTCTATAAGGAGTCCTGAGTGACCCTTGACTAAGGGCCTTCCTCACTTGGGCCTTAGTATCTCCATCTGCCAACTTAGGAGGGGTTCAGCTATGGGAACCCCAATACTGACCCAGCTTCCTCCCCTGTAGTCCAACTCAGCAGCTATTAAATATTAGACCCCATCTTGATATCTTCTGTGACCTGGCTCTGCCGCTTACTGCTACGTGATTTGGGGTTACTTAACCTCAATGTGCCTGTTGCCTCATCTCAGCTGTAAATGGGATTAAACACAGCACCTACCTAGAAGAGCTTAGGACATGCCAAGCACAGGATAAGTACCTGCCTAGTAAACATTAATCCTCATGCTTCTGGTAGATGTGCATGCATGTGTGCACCAACAGGAAGAGGCAGAAATGTAACTTAAATAGTTGTATTAGGATAAAAATGTGGCTTTTAACATTTCCTTTAATGTCATGATTAATAATGTTTAATGCCTCCCATGATTCATATATTATGTAGAGAATAAAGTCCAAATTCCTTAACTCCATATCCAAGGGTCTCCGGTTCAATATTAATCCATATTTCAATAGAGCAAAGTGGCTACCAGCACAAGGAGACAGGCTCTGTGATGTACTAGCTCTATGAGCTTGGGCAGGAAGCTTGCCTCTCTGTGCCTCTGCTTCCTCATCTATAAAATGAGGAAAGTAACAATTCTCACCTAACTGGGCTGAGTGATATGAAATAAAAGGCTTAGTTGGGTGTCCGTAATATGTTCATGTACAGGCTTGAACATAGCGATTATCATGCTCTACCCACTGCCTCTAAATCTCTGGTCACCCTTCACTCATTGCCTTCCCCTAATTATCCAACATTGATCTATGGTTAGAGCATCAGCCCATGCACCAAAGGGTCTCAGGTTTAAGTCAAAGACATGTATCTGGGTTGCAGGTTCAATTCCCACCCCGGTAGGGTGAGAGTGGGAGGCAACCAATTGATGTTATTCTCTCTCGTCAGCACTCTCCCCACCCTCCCCTCCCTCCATCTGTCCACTCTCTCTAAAAATCAATGGAAAAAATATCCTTATGCAAGGATTAACAAAAGAAACAACAACACACACAAAACCACTCTATATCAAGGCCCAGCTCAAACGTCACATCCTTCAGAGACTTCCCATCTCCTCCAGTCCCTCTCCTGGCTTTTATGAGGGCTGGGTACACCTCTCACCCCCTTGGCTAACTCATTTGTCCCTCCCATTGCTTCCTACCCTTCCTGAGGATGTGAGGAGCCAGGCTTGCTCTGAGCAGATGTCTAAGATATGTGCTAGCCGTCAAGGAAACTCAGCCATCAAACTGAGTCCAACCATCTGCCACATCCTGCCCTGTCCTCTCCTGAGCCTCAGTCTCACCTGTAACGGAGGCGATGTGCCCGCAACTCAGCCAAGGCCGCTTTTCTCTCTCCAGCCCCCCAACGAGCCTGGTTTGCTTCCCCCTGGACCAGCTGGTGATGGGGAAGGGGATGCTGGATGCAGGGACATCTACGGCCATCCAGAGACCTGCTCAAGGTGGACCTCTGGCTCGAGTCAGGGTTTCTGATTCCAGAGGGTTTGGGGGCAAGGCCAGGATCCTGCATTTTCAAAAGCGAGTAGAAACTCTTCCTTCTTAGTGTTTGCAAGGGCTATGTTCTGAAACAGCTGTTCTGGGAGCACAAAGCTTCTCCGAGGCTCATGGGGCAGACAGCCCTAGGAAGGGACCAAGGCCCCCTCAGCCCCACACACTGTGGAGGGGAGAATGTTGCCACATAGGATCTAAGAAGCTAGGGTCTAAGCCATGTGACACACATTTTGATAAAAACATTTATTGAGTACTTTCCAAGTGCCGGGCACTATGTGAACCCTTTGCATATTTCAGCATACCAGATCCCCATGACAGCCCCATGAGGTAGTGTTGTCATTACCCTCATTGTTCAGAGGAGGAACACAGAGCTCAGAGAGGTGAAGTGACTTACCCAACATCACACAGCAGTGAGTACAGCACTTGAATCTGAAGCCAGATTTGGCCGATAGCTGCACTCTAACCACAGTGCCTCCTAAGTGCCTACATCAGAGGCATCTGAAGATGCTGTGAGGAGCCATATGTAAAAAGGTAGAGCAGATAAGGGCTCTGGCCATGTCAGGCTGCCCAACGAGCAACCTGACTACAGGCCAGCCTTAAGGCAGCCCAAAGGGGGGTGGCAGGGCCACCCTGTCTTCTCTGTTTAGGCTACAAGCCTGCACCAGCCAAACCCCGGGCTACTCAGATCCAGCCATCCCTCTTGCTATCACTCCTGCCTGGAAGCCATAAGCAGCCCTGCCCCAGGTCCCCGAATGCGACAGGGCTTTCCAGGAGGATAGGGGACACAGCGGGGCAGTCACAGGCCATCTCTGCTGACAGCTCGCTTCCACTGGGAAGGATCTTCTCTGTCCCCAGGGGCCGTGGACCCAAAGGTGAGCATCAGGCTGGGAGCAAACGCCGTGGGTCCATCACTCAGAGGCCTGGATGTAGACAGGCACAGCAAGCATGGCACACGGGCCATCAGCCCCTGCCTGTAGCTCTGCCAGTGCCAGGTTGGGGCCCAGGCCCTCAGCATGCCCAGGCACTACCAGCTCAGGTTCACTGCCCACTGTGCCACCCACTACGATGGACAGCACGGCGTCTGGCTCTGAGAAGGGTGGCTTGCCTGGGGCGGCCTCGGGCACTGGCCCAGTCCCGGGGTCCTTCAACTCCTCCAGCCCCAGGGGGTCAGGCAGGGACGTCACCACCTTGTGTCCACCACTGCTGCCACCGCGGGGGGCGGCCCTCCTCCGGGGGGGCCGCCGGGCTTGCAGGTCCTTATCCTTTTGGGGTCCGAGGCGGCAGCGGTGATCCTTGAGGTATTTGTGGCGGGAAAAGCCCTTGGCGCAGCCAGCACAGCGGAACTTGTAGTTGCCCGTGTGGGCGCGCTGGTGCTCGGCGAGGTGGGCGCGGCGGCTGAAGGACTTGCTGCACAGGGCACACTTGTGGAGCTTCATGCCTGGTGGGGAGGGAAGTCAGTGAGAGGCACCCAGTCCCTTCACCCCGCAACAGCGCCCTGTGTTGGGAACGAAACCCAGGTCCTCGGCTTGTCTAGAAACATCTGTGTGATCTGGGCTCTCATCTCTCACCTTCCCCCAGCCCCTGTGCCAGCCACACTGCTTCTCCTCAAAGGCATCAGGCTGGTGCCTACTTCTGGGCCTTTGCACTTGCTGTTCCCTCTGCCCGGGGCAGTATGCTCAGCCCCCTAATTTTCCAAGGTCCATCATCTATCTCCTCTCTGGTATGCTTGCCTCATGCAGCCCCGACCATTTCCTACAGGGCAGCTAGTGACAACTTCAGAAAACACATAAAGGATCATATTCCCTGCTCCAAACCCTTTAATGATTCCCCAAATTTCCCACAAAGCCCCGTACAGCCTGACCACTCCTTCACCTCTCAGCAGCACCCCCTCCTTCCCCACACCGTGTTCTCTGAGCTCCAGGCCTCCCTCTGGCCTTTCCTCACCTCAGACCACCCCCCCCAACACCCCCTCTTCCCTGAAGCCATTTGCTGGCTCTTTTCATGTCACCTCCTCTCTTCATTCTCTGCCCCATCACCCTGTTTATCTCCATCTTTGCACTCAGCATACTTTGCAGCTACATACTAATTTGTCTGGTGTTCATTTTCCATCTCTATTACTAAATCGAAGCTTCCCCAGGAGGGCGGGGTGGGGTTCTTCCCGATTCCCTCAGTGCCTCACACATGGCAGGTTCTCAACAGTCACTCACTGACTAAGTCACTGGTGCCTCCGCGTACATATGAAGTCACTCCAGCCCACACGCAGCCTGAGCCATTGCCCCCAACCTCCCTGGCTTGGAGAGGGGCAGTGACGTGCCTGAGGCAAGTGGCAGTGCCAGAGCTCACACCCAAGCCACCTGCCTCTAAGTCCTGATTTATTCTCACAGCTTTCAAACGTTCTTTAGCCATTAAATCCTTTCTGTTCCCTGGTTTCGGCGCGCGCGCGCACACACACACACACACAGAAAAATCCTTTCTGTAAACCTTGGTTCTTAACCAAGGGTGATTTTAGCTCCCAGGAGACTTTCGGCTTGTCCCCTGGAGACATTTCTGGTTGCCAAAAATGTGGAGAGATGCCACTGACACCTGGGTAGAGGCCAGGGATGCTACTGACCATCCTATAGTGCACAGCATGGCCCCTACAACAACGAGTTATCTGGCCCCAAATAATGGATAATGCCAAGGCTGAGAAACCCATTCTAGACTAAAGAATATAGCTTAGGGGGAAGCTTTGTGAAGCCCCAGAAAACCAAGGACTGCTGTGGAGACCCCTGATCCACAGCCCAGCTACCCGGCTCTGCCAAGGGAACAAAGAAACTTCCTGGCCTTATCTTGGGCCCAGTCAGAATACGGCCTCCCTCTACATCTGATCCTCACCTCTGTCACACCAAAAACCTCTCTGATTTATAGTTATCTCTTCTCAGGTCAGCTTCCCCCTCAGCCTGGGTGCACCCCACCTCTGTGCACCCCAAGGACCCTACCACAAGCCCGGTTCATGGCTCACATGAGCAAACGTTTGTTGGCTGGGACGTACCAGACGGGAATAACAAGTCTCACGGGATGTGTCTGGGGGCCTCCCCTCAGGGGCTTAGGCTCGACCAGACCCTCCTGGGGTCCCAGGCCACTTACCAGAGTGGGAGAGGATGTGAGCCTTCAGCTTATCTGGCCGGTTGAACTCCTTACTGCAGCCTGTGTGTGTCCTAGAACCAAAGCCACTGGTCAGGAGGTGCTTAACAAGTTCAGGACACTCTTGCTGGCCCCTCTGCTAACCCTGAGCATGAGGACACTCTTGTCCATCCTAATGGCTGGGCAAAGAAGCAGGGCGCAGGGTGAAGCCAGCAGGTGGGGCCCAGGACAGGATAAAAGGAGGGAGGGCCTCCAGTCCTCAGACCTGACATCTTCCTGTCTCACTAGAGGGTAAACCCACGCCCCCTCCATGCCAACCTCTACTCACGAGAAGGGGCATTTGTATTTCTTGAATGGCTCGTGGATCAACATGTGTCTCTTCAGTTTGTCTTTGCGGTTGAATGCGGACTCACACACTGAGCATTTGTAGGGCTTCTCACCTGCAGGAGACACAGACACAGAGGGTGAGGACCTCATGAGACAGAGTCTGAACACTGAGCCACGGGTGTGGAGGGGTTCCCCACTAGAGGGCAGCAGCTCCTCTAGGAAGGTGGCCTGGGAGAAAATAGCCAATCCCATTCCTTGTGACTTGGTTTTGCCAAGAAGAGGGAGCCATTTCAGATGGGGCGGTCAGGAAAGGCCACTCTGATGGGCAACAGTCGAGGTGAGACCTGAGGTAATATGTGGAAATCTGGAAGCGAGGGTCCCAGACAGAGGGACAGGAGGGGGTGTTTGAGGAACAACAAAGATGCCAGTGTGGTTGGAACTGAGTAGGGGGAGGGAGAATGAGGCAGAAGATGAGGTCAGTGAGGCTTCCTGGCCCTCCAGGGATGGTCTAGAAGGCCAAGGAAGGACTTGGGCTTTTGCTCTTAACCTGATGAGAAGCCACAGAGGGGCTGAGCAGAGGAGGGACAGGATCTGACTGAAGAGTTCCTCAGGCTCCCTCTGGTTGCATGTAGAGGAGAGACTGAGGGGGTGAGGGAGGAGAAAGGAAGGAGCTGGTACAAGAAATGGGAAGAGATCAAGCATAGACTATGTTGGAATGCAGAATTGGCAGCCCTTGCCAGTGAATTGGCTGTGGGGTGTAAGAAGAAGGGGAGAGTCTAGAATGAGACAAAGGTAAGCCAAGTGACAGAGTGTGTGATCCTGTCATTTACCGAAATGAGGTACACCTTGTCCAAGTGGATCCTTGCAACACCAAACCACGAGGTAAGTACTATCATTATCCCTTTCTATGGATGAGAAAACTGAAGTTCATGGTCTATACCTGGAGGTGGAGGGAGCTAAGATTCTAGCCCAGCAGTATGATCCCGAGCCCACCTTAGTGCAGCCTGAGTGTCCTGCTGCAGAACCGCTGGGGAGGAAGGGGGCTGGGACCAGCTCTCACCTGGCAGCTCACAACACGCCGTAGGAAAGGACTGTTACTGGGCTGTTTTAATTTCCTGCCACTATTTCCTCTCTGTTCTCCCTCTGGAATGAGTAAATTACTTTTGAAAAATGCCATCCACCCATCCAGTGATTAAGGAAATTCTGGTCCTTACAATGGAATGTTCTGCAGTTATTAAAAAGATTAAGTTACACCCATGTTTCTTGATCTGGAAAGATCTCCTAAGACATATTGCTAAGGGGAAAAGAAAGCTATTGCACAGCCTAATATAGTCCCATTTTTGTAAGAAAAAAATATAATCCTCACACTCAAAAAAAAGCCCAAGCTATATGTGTTGTATGTACACAAAATATGCAGGAAGAACAGTTGGAGAGGGTACAATCTGTAGCAATTAGGATTTGAAGGAGGAATTTAACATTTGATTTTATGTACTTCTACACTACTTTCATATTTACAATAAGCATGTATCACTTTTTAAAAAATTCTTTATTGTTGAAAGTATTACATATGTCTTCCTTTTACTCCATTGACCTCTCCCAACAGCTCCCACCTCCCAACACAGGCCCTCATCTCCCTATTGTCTGTGTCCATTGGTTATGTTTATATGCATGCATACAAGTAAGCATGTATTACTTTTGAATAATACTTCCTTTTTTAAAAATATATATTTTATTGATTTTTTTACAGAGAGGAAGGAAGAGGGATAGAGAGCTAGAAACATTGATGAGAAAGAAACATCGATCAGCTGCCTCCTGCATACCCCCCACTGGGGATGTGCCCACAACCAAGGTACATGCCCTTGAATGGAATTGAACCTAGTACCTTTCAGTCTGCAGGTCGACACTCTATCCACTGAGCCAAACTGGTTTCAGCTGAATAATAATACTTTCTTTTAATCCTTACCCAAAAATATGTTTTTATTTATTTTAGAAAAAGAGGAAGGGTGAGGGAGGGAGAGGGAGAAACATCTATCGGTTGCCTCACATATGCACCCCAACCGGGGATGGAACCCACAACCTGGGTTTGTGCCCTGACAGGGAATTGAACCTGTGGCTTTTCTTTTCTTTTTTTAATATACTTTTATTAATTTCAGAGAGAAAGGGAGAGGAAGAGAGAGATAGAAACACCAATGATGAGAGGGAACCATTGATTGGCTGCCTCCTGCACACCCCCTGCTGGGGACTGAACCTGAAACCTGGGCAAGTGCCCCCAACTGAAATCGAAGTCAGGACCCTTGAGTCTGCAGGCTGATGCTCTCCACATGTGTCAAACACAAGGCCCGCGGGCCAAATCCGCCCGCCAGGCCTTGCAATGTGGCCCGCACCGCGCTGTCATCACTGCACTCCGCTGCGTTTCCATCACAATGACAGTTTATGACTGTTCAGTAAACCATTCGGCCCGCGATTTAGGCTGGATTTTAGATTTTGGCCCCTTCTCTGATTGAGTTCAACACCCCTACGTATACACTGAGCTAAACTGGCTAGGGCGAACCTGTGACTTTTCAATGTATGCGATGACATTCCAACCAATTGAGCCACACCAGCCAGGGATGAGTAATAAAAATTTAAAATCATTTGGGCCCTGACCCATTTGGATCAGTGGATAGAGTGTTGGCCTGCAGACTGAAATGTTCCAGGTTCAATTCCTGTCAAGGGCATGTACCTTGGTTGCAGGCACATCCCCAGTAGGGAGTGTGCAGGAGGCAGCTGATCAATGTTTCTCTCTCATTGATGTTTCTCTCTCTCCCTCTCCCTTTCCCTTTCTCTCTCTAAAAAAAAAAAATCAATAAAATATTTAAAAATATTTTTTTAAAAAGAGACTAATTTGGTAATACCTATCAAAACTATTAATGCATATATTTATCTTGTTTCTTTTTTTACTGTAAAATATACCTAACATAAAATTTATCATGTTAACTACCTTTTAAGTGTACAGTTCAGTGGCATTCACACTGTTGTACAATAATCTTCATCTCCTGAACGTTTTCAGCATTCCAAACTGAAACTTAGTGCTGCAAATACATTTTAACCTCGCACTTTCTCTTTAGGAATATACACTACAGATATACTACCAAAAGCTTGCTAAGGGTCCACATAGCACTGTGTATACAAACAAACAGCTAAAAAATAATTTAAGTGTCTATCCATAGGAAACTGGTTAAATAAAAGATGGTAAATATAGAGAAATACTATGAAGCTGAGAAAAAGGTAGAATTCAAGGTATAATAAGTGAAGAAAAAAAGGTACATAATAGAATTTTAGTATGTGCTCAATTGTAGAGACGTAAGCAAGTACTTTATATAGATGTAAAATAAAACTAGAATGATGCAGGCATGCCACTAATAGCTGTTGTCTTTGAGGAGTTGTTGCTTTTGGTAAGAGTATTTTTCAAACTGCAAACTAGGAGTCACAAGCTGTTGGTGGTTATTTTTTATTTTTATTTTTTAAAAACATATTTTATTGATTTCTTTACAGAGAGGAAGAGAGAGGGATAGAGAGTTAGAGACATCGATGAGAGAGAATCATCGATCATCTGCCTCTTGCACACCCCCTACTGTGGATGTGCCTGCAACTAAGGTACATGTCCTTGACGGGAATCGAACCTGGGACCTTTCAGTCCACAGGCCGACGCTTTCGGCTGTTAGTGTTATTTTAACAACAAAAATTAAACAGAATAGAAGAGAAAATAATGCTTCGTGAAACTTTTGTTTCAATATATTCTATGTATATAGATGTGTTTCCTGAGTTGCAATAAAAAAAAAATGTATATTTTACCCTAGGTCATAGCAAAAAAGAAGAATTGAGAAACATTTGGCTTGTCCATCTGAGGTGAGGGAGGTTCATTTTCATTATATATGTTGTGGTATTGTTGAGGACTTTCTTCTAAGGTTTTCTCAATCTTTTGATCCTCTTCAATAAAAAACCCCCAGAATTTTCCAACTAATAAAAATTGTAATGATTTGCCGAGACAGGTTTGGCTCAATGGATAGGGCGTCGGCTTGGGGACTGAAGGGCCCCGGGTTCGATTCCGGTCAAGGGCATGTACCTTGGTTGCGGGCATATCCCCAGTAGGGGGTGTGCAAGAGGCAGCTGATTGATGACTCTCTTTCATCAATGTTTCTAACTCTCTATCTCTCTCCCTTCCTCTCTGTACAAAATCAATAAAATATATTTTTAAAAAAATTGTAATGATTTAAAAAAAAAAAAAAAAAGCCAATGGGTCTCCACTGGGGAACAAGGAGAGGGGGTTTTGTCCAGGTTCGAGTGCTAATTTAATGGTGAGAAAAGCGTCCCGCCCCCCACCCCCCACCCCAGGGCTCTCCATAGTCTGAGGGACTGACTCTCCAGGGGCAGAGAGGAAAGAACACGCACCAGCTTCCCCCTGAGTGGCAATCTCGGCTCTAGTGTTGGTGGGCAGGTGGGGGGAGGGCGGAGGGGGGCAAGAAGGAGACAGGAGGGAAAGGGGGCAGAAGGCAGATACAGGAGCTAAAGAGAGATGAGGAGGAAAGCCGGATAGGGACGAGAAGGAGAACAAAGAGGGGCTGGGGGGTGGGGAGATGGAGGGGAGCTGGGTACCCACCTGAGTGGATGTGAGCATGCAGTTTGAGGTAGTGCTCCCGCCGGAAGAACTTCTTACACACCTGGCACTTGAACCTGCCTCCGCTGCCATGTGTGGGCAGGTGACGCCGAAGGTAGCGTTCGCAAGGAAACACCTGACAGAAGAAAGAAATCAGTTTCAAGTCTGACTCCCTAGCCCTTGCCACCGCCTCAGCTCCCCCACATTTCCAGCTTTTCCTTAGGGAAATAACTCCTTTTCTGCTCACCCCGGGCAGAGCCCACACTGCCAGGCACAGCCCTTAGAACATCATGGTTCCTACCACTCCCCCAAAGTCCAGTCAAAACATGTTTGCTCAGAGCATACAGGTCTTTTTTTCTACCTAGAGGGCCTTTCTCTCTTACTCTGACAAACTCCTACTCATCCTTCAAGGCCCAACTCAGATGTCATTGCTTCTTGAAGGCCTGACTCCGCATTGTCACACCAGGCAAAGCAAATTCCGCCCTTGAATATACATCTACATTTTTAAATATATTTTATTGATATTTTACAGAGAGGAAGGGAGAGGGATAGAAAGTCAGAAACATCGATGAGAGAGAAACACCGATCTGCTGAATCGAACCCGGGACCTTTCAGTCCGCAGGCCAATGCTCTATCCACTGAGCGAAACCGGTTTCAGCTATATCTACATTTTTAAAGTCAGCATTTAACCCACTGAATTACAGCCCTTTGCTTATATGGGATCTCTAAGAGGACAGAAAGGAGCTTTCATTCCCCAGCATAGGGCCTGAGTCAACTGACTCACAAGTAAAAGAATAAATGAATAAAATGAACAAACAACTAAAGAAATTAATGAAAAGATAATAAAAAGCCAGAAAACATAGAAACCAAAATCTCCTTCCTCCCAGATATAGGTTAGGCATTTGTTCATTTCCCCCCCATTCATTTGATATATTGAGGCACAGACCCAACTACCCAGTACTTATTAGCCCTACCATTTCCTTGTTGGGCGACCTTTCTGTGCCTACCTCCTAGGGTTAAATGACTCAACTCAGATAAAATGTTCGGAACAGTATCTGGCCCATGGTTCTTGCTTGATTCATATCTATTACTTGAACCACAAATTCTGAAGTTCAAAATTAGATTATATAATTAGAAACATCTACAATGAGGCTGAAATGAAACCAGGCTGTGCTGGAAAATCTGCCATGTCAGGTTGTAAGGAAATGAGTAGAACAAAGAAACAAGTTAAATGCACCAGGGGGATGCAATCAGCAAAATCGGGACTTCAGGAAACTCCACAGGACCGGGTGCCTCGTTTCTTCAACAAATAAATGGAAAGGGAAACAAAAGGAGCAATGGTGTGGGAAAGCTCTGTATTAAAAGAAACTTTGGTCCTATCAACGAACTGCAATATGCAGACCTGATACAAACAAACAAACTTCACAAAAATTATATTTTTTATACAATTGGAACACAGCCTGGATATTTGATGATATTAAGGGATAGGCTTCAATGAGACTTTCCAGATTTGCTAAAAAGAAATAACAAGGTGTGGCTTAGTAGTTGAGTGTAGACCTATGAACCAGGAGGTCACTGTTCGATTCCTGGCCAGGGCACAAGCCTAGGTTGCAGGTTACATTACCAGTAGGGAGCATACAAAAGGCAGGTGATCAGTGATTCTCTCTCATTATTGATGTTTCTATCTCTATTTCCCTCGCCCTTCCTCTCTGAAATCAATACAAATATACTTTTTAAAAATTAAAAATAAATAACAAGGATAATAACACATCAGGAAACTGGTGGCCCCTGTTCAGACACTGGGCCTGGGCCGAGGGCAGGCCTCACCCCTTGTCAGCCCAGCAGCAGCACCAGACGGCCATGGGTGGTGTCTGATGGGAAAGAGGCCAGGCAGAGCTCTTACTCTTCAAAATGAAGTGTCATCTGAGGAGACAACTCCAAGCTTTGCCTTCATGGGGTTAGGGGGGAGAAGGGGACAAGGAAACAGTGGAGTTTTCACTCCACCACCTGCTGCCCCTGCTATCGCAGGGATACCCACCTTTTGGCAGTGCGGGCAGGGGAAGTTGTGGGTGGCGGTCTGTAGGTGGTGCTCCAGGGCCTCAGGGGTAGAGTATTTGTTGACACATTTGACACATCTAAATAGGAAGGAGCAGAAGTGAGAGTAAGGTGGGGGGGAGAGGGGGGCTGGACTCACCCAGCAGGTCCAAGAATCAGCTTCTCCACTCCCCCAGGGCCAACATTAGGAGACAACAGTCATTCCAAACCACTTGCTAATTTTCATATCTCTACATTTGTTAATCTTCCTCCTAGGAATGCACTCCACCCGACCCACTGCAAACCTGGCAAACTCCTACTCATCCTTCAAAACCCAGCTCAGATACCATTGCTCTGGTACACCTTCTCTCGGGAGCAAGCGGGGCCGGTGCTGTCAGCATGTGGGAGTGGTTGTGGTGGAGGTAGGGCTGTTGGCAGACAGGGAACCGTGGCCGAGGCGGGAGGGGCTGGGCGGGGGCACGGAGGATGTGCCCACAGTTCCTTTCCAGGTGCACAAATTCATGTACTGGGCCCCTAGTATATATATATATATATAATAGCACTTTATCACAATATATGGTAAAAATATTTATACATTTGTCTCCCTAAGCAGCCCATGCATTCTAAACTCAAAGTCTATGTTTACTTGTCTCTGAACCTCAGAAGTTCACCCAGGAATTACAGCAGGGCCCCCTAACAGAGATCATTAGCCAAATCCCTGCAGGTACAATATTGGTTTTGTTTTAATCCTCACCCGAAGATATATTTCCCACTGATTTCTAGAGAGAGTGGAAAAGGGAGAGAGAGAGAGACTCTGAAAGAAAGAGAGAGAGAACCATTGACGTGAGGGAGACATATCAGTTGGTTGCCTCCTCGACACACCCCTACCAGGGCTGGGGAACCTGCAATCAAGGTGCATGCCCTTGACTGGGAATTGAACCCATGATTTTTCAGTCCTTGGGCCAAAACTCTAACCATTGAGCAAAACTGGCCAGGACCTTGCAGGTACAATTTTGAACAAAGAAGCAAAAGCCATTTAACATGAAAACCTTCACCAATGACTAGAAGGAGTCATTCTCAAACAAGTCCTTGTTTTCACTGAGATCTATTCCCACATATTTGCTGAGCATTGTGAGACAGCAACACAGGACAAATGCACAGCAAGATAACTGCAGGGCAAAAATGGAGTATTTTACAAAGTTAGAAAAGAAATACTGGATATCTGCAAATAACCCCACCAATAAAGGAGAATCTAGAGGAGGAGCCAGAAAACAACTGAAAAGAAACTCAAAGGCTAATCAAGGAATGATAGCTCCAAAGAGAATGATTTGAGGATCTAAGGATTAAAAGCATATGGCAAAACTGAGAGGTTTCCATCATTTCTGCCAAAGGAGCTCTCTTTTATGACTGTAACAGAAAACTAAGGTGATGTAAAGGACAGTCAGAAAAAATAACCCCAAATCAAATCTACACTTGAAGCATTCCTTGTTCATTCTAAGAATCAGCACATAGCTTCAACTTTAACCTAAATTTTATATATTACTAGTGGCCCAGTGCATGAAATTCATGCACAGGGAGGAGGGGGTTCCCTCAGCCCAGCCTGCACCCTCTCCAATCGGGGACCCTTTGGGGGACATCCCTCTCACAATCTGGGACCGCTGGCTTCTAACCGCTCACCTGCCTGCCTGCCTGATCATCCCTATCTGCACTGCCCGGCTGGCCTGATCTCACCCCCAACTGCCCTCCCCTGCCTGCCTGATCTCACCCCCAACTGCCCTCCTCTGCCTGCCTGATCTCACCCCGAATTGGCTCTGCCTGCCTGATCACCTCTAACTGCCCTCCACTGCCGACCTGATCTCGCCTCCAACTGACCTCCCCTGCTGGCCTGATTTCACCCCTAACTGCCTCTGCCTACCTCATGATCCCTAAGTGTCCTTCCCTGCTGGCCCCCATCATCATGGCTTTGTCTGGAAGGAAGTCAGACTCTAGAAGATGGCCGGTTGACCCTGTCTAATTAGCATGTTACCCTTTTATTAGCATAGATTATATAGGATAGGATTGCTTAAATGGGGGGCGGGGGGGGGGGGAAGAGCCTTTTTCAGCAGGAGGAGATGCTCTTGGCAGACAAAAACACATAATCCCTATATCTGGACTGATAGCCAGCCATATGCACTAAACTGCCAAAGCGGTCATTAAAAAATTGAACCGCTTTCTTACACCTTACACCAAATAGCTGTTGCCCTTAAAACCCCTCCTCAGCCTCCACCTTAGGTTCTGCCTTCATAGTTCACCCAGATTAGGTTCTGATTGGTCAGTTTCTATGACAGTCAGTGTCAAAAGCTCTGCCTCCTAGGCAGCCACTGGCTCCTGGCACTTCACCCAGATTTGGTTCTGATTGGTTGGTTTCTATGCAGTCAGCGTCTCCAGGCCTATCTCTGGACCTGATCAAAGAGGCGGGGCTGATCAGCAGCCCCATGGAGATCTAGAGAGAAACAGGCAAGCTGCTGATGAAGCTGGGAGAGAAAGAGAGAGGCAGCGGCTGATCAACAGCTGCCACTGAGGCTGCAGATCAGACCCTGCCTCTCTCTCTGCAGGCCTCTCTCAGGGCCTAATGCGCAGTCCCCTCAGCTGTAGGTGCTGGGTCGCCATGGCAACCGAGCACTGACTTCCCGGTCATTGCGGACTCTGGCCCTTTATATATACAGATTTAAAAAAATAGAATCTTATTTTTATGGTTTTTGCTTTCAAATGTGCTTATTAATTTGTTTTTTCATTCTAAGAATCTGTATACCATTCCAAATGTAACCTAAATTTTGTATATTGTCAGACAAAATAATATTTTGACAATATTTTTAGTATAGAAAAAAATCGAATTCTTTTTCTACTGTAACAAGGAAAGACTGGCTTCCTCTTTTTTTTTTTTTTTTTTTTTTTTTTTTTAAAGGACCGATGCCTTCCAAGTTAAAAAATGCTATAAGGAGAACCAGCATCTTTTCCCCTACCAGTGTTAAGTCCCAAAACCCACTCTGCCAGACTGGCCCTGAACCCAGAGACTCAGTTTCCCCTCTGAGGTGTCTGAGAGTCCTGTGGGCGAGGAAGTGGCAGACACATACTTGTAGACCGTGCTGTCCTTCTTGGGGCTGTGCTGCGGCAGGAGGCTGTGGGAGTACTGGTGCACGCCCAGGTCATACAGGGAGGGGAAGTCCTTGCTGCAGAGGTGGCAGCGGTAGCTCAGCTCCTCCTGGTGGCTCTTGATGTGCTCCAGAAATGTGTCGAGCTTCGGGAACGTCTGAGCGCAGCTTTTGACCACACACTTGTACACCTTGATGGTAGACATGGAGCAGGTTAAAGGGGAGGCCGGAGAGCTGCCTTCACTGCTTCCCCCCTGCCCTGCGGCATCCACCTGGAACACTGCTGGCGAATGACTCTACGCCCCTGCTTTTATTTTGATTGGAGGGTCCTCTCCTCTCAGCCAGTCATAATGACCACACTACCCTTTTCTCAGGCTCTGGAAATACAGTAAAAAGATGACACTGTGGCCTTCCAATCTCATACTGGAGTAGTGGCTCCCCAACTTGAGCACACATGACTAACAGATTGCTGGGCGCACCCCCAGAGTGATTGAGCAGGTCTGGTGGCCTGAACATGTGCTTCCTAACAAGTACCTGGTGATGCTTGTCCAGAGACCTCACTTTGAGAACTGCTTCTAACAAGTCTACCTACGGTCATCTCTAGGGGAATGCACATTGTTTTGACTATTTACCACTGATTAGAATCCAGACTCTAAAACTAAATATTAACCTTTTCAAAACTGATCTGATTTAAATGGCTTTTGTCAGGTAGAAAGGATAATGCCCTGTAGGACATTAACCAGATTTGTATCTATCTTAGCAACCCTTTTTAAAAAAATTAAATTTATTAGGGTGATATTGGTTAATAGGATTATATAGGTTTCAGGTGTAGCAATCTCATTTCAATATTCCTTTTTCCCCTGATAGTACTATATAGGTATAAATATTAATGTCTCATAGCTTCTTTTGAACTGACTTTCTCATTTTTCCAGTTCCCTCATTAATGAGTTCCATAAAATTCTGAATCATATTCATTATGTTATTTACATGAGAGTCATGTTTTTAACATTTTGAAAATTATACTTTGACAAGTGGAACACACTCCTGGTTGCCTAAACAATTCCACAAACTCCTTTTGAACCATGGCCTCCTGGTTTATGGGTTAACCTTCAACCACTGAACCACACCGGCCAGGCACACGAGCTCTTTCTTCCTAACAAAGTGAACCATGATTTGCTCAGAGTGGAACATGCTCAGTTAAAGGCTGGTGTGGCTTAGTTGGTTGGAGCATCATCCTGTACACCAAAAGGTGGTGGGTTTGATTCCCAGTCAGGGCATACATCCAGGTTGTGAATTCGATTCCAGGTCGGGACACATGTGGGAAGCAACCAATCGATGTTTCTCTCTCTTTCCCCCTTCCTCTCTCTCTCTTTTTAAAATATTTTTTTTTATTGTTTTTAGAGAGGAAGAGAGAGGGAGAGATAGAAACACCAATGATGAGAGAATCATTGATTGGCTGCCTCCTGCACATCCCCTAGTGGGGTCTGAGGCTGAAACCCAGGAATGTGCCCTTTAGTCCCCAGGCCAATACTCTATCCACTGAGCCAAACCAGCTAGGGCCCCTTCCTCTCTCTTAAAAAAAAAAATACAAAAAACATTTGATTCCATATCCCTGTTTCCCTTGCATCTAGTGTCAGCCATATGACTCCTTTCTTTCTTTCTTTCTTTTTAAAATATATTTTATTGATTTTTTACAGAGAGGAAAGGAGAGGGATAGAGAGTTAGAAACACTGATGAGAGAGAATCATCGATCAGCTGCCTCTTGCACACACCCAGGTTGCGGGTTGGATCCCAAGTGGGGAGTGTGCAGAAGGCAGCCAATCAACGATTCTCTCTCATCATTGATGTTTCTATCTCTCTTTCCCTCTCTCTTCCTTTCTCTAAAATCAATAAAGACATTTTTTTTTAAAGACACAGAAAAAAATGGACCCTTTTTGCACATAGACAAGACTGTAACTGGACCTAGAAAGAATGGCCACTATCCCAGGACCACAGGTGAGCCATCAATAGAGAACAGGACCACATGGTAGAGATGGTGGAGATGAGCTGAAAAACAGAGTCCTGTCAACTGACTGTTTCAGGCCTGGAACTGCTGAACCTTGGGTTTTCTTATTAAATGAGATGACAAACTTCCTAACTGTTTAAGCCAGTTTGAATAAAATGTTTCTGTGATTTGTCATCAAGGATACCCTAACTAACTTCCATCAACCCCCATCCTCGCTAGGAATCTATCATAAGAAAAAAGTCAGAGATGTGAACAAATACTTGATTACAATGATCCTACCATGGTTTTGTTTATAATAGCAAAACTCAGATAAATGTTTACCTATAGGGGAATTTAAAAAATGTAGCCATTAAACTATGTGTTTAAAAATAGTGACATGAGCTACATATTTTCCACCATTTCCTTTTCTTCCTCTCTTTTCCTGTAGCCCAAAATGCAGAAAGAAAAGAAGGCTAAGGGGAAGAAGGTGGCTCCGGCCCCTGTGGTCATGAAGAAGCAGGAGGCCAAGAAGGTCAATCCCCTGTTTGAGAAAAGGCCCAAGAATTTTCAAATTGGACAGGACATCAAGCCCAAAAGGGACCTCACCTGCTTTGTCAAATGGTCCAGCTACATTCGGCTGCAGCAGCAAAGGGCTATTCTCTATGAGCATCTGAAAGTGCTATTAGCTAGTTCACTCAGGCCTTGGATCACCAAACAGCCACTCAACCGCTGAAGCTGGCCCACAGGTACAGACCAGAGACAAAGCAAGAGAAGAGGAGGCTGTTGGCTTAGCTGAGAGAAAAGCAGCCAGCAAAGGGGATGTCCCCACCAAGAGGCCACCTATCCTGGCAGGGAGTGACACCGTTACCACCCTGCAGAAAGAGAACAGGAAGGCCCAGCTGGGGGTGACCACACACAGTGTGATCCCATCCAGCTGTGGTCTTCCGCCCACCCTGTGCTGGCAGACGGGGTTCCCACTGCATGGGCAAGGGGAAGCCAGGCTGGCGTCTCAGCCACAGGAACCTGCACCACTGCTGCCTTCACACAAGTTAACCTGGAAGAAAAAGGAGCTCTGGCTAAGCTGGTGGGAGCTTTCTGTTCTAAGGGGAGGCAAGGTCCTGGGTCCAAGTCAGAGGCTACCATTGCCAAGCTGGAAATGGCAAAGGCTAAAAAAACTGGCCACCAAACTGGCTATCTGCACACTGCTGGGTTTTCTGTACATAAAAGTAATAAGAACTGTCCTTCAAAAAAATAATAGTGACATGAGAAAATACTCAAATATAAAATTAGGTTAAAAAAATAGCACAAATCTCAAGAGAATTTATGCTGAGTCAAAAAAAAGCCAATCTCAAAAGGTCACATACTGTCTGACTCTATTTATACAACATTCTCAAACTGATGAACTTATAGAGACATAGAGAACCGGTCAGTGGTTCCGGAGGTTAAGTATGTTGGGGAGGAGAAGGATGTCTAATAAGGAGCAACACCAGGGAGAGCTCTGTGGGATAAAATAGTCTGTTCTGCCAAGCAACGAGGTTCAGTAGTTGACCTATGTACCCTGAGGACACAGTTTGATTCCCGGTCAAGGCACATGCCCAGGTTGCAGACTTGATCCCCAGTAGGTGGCATGCAGGAGGCAACCGATCAATGATTCTCTCTTCCTCTCCCTTCCTTTCTCTGAAATAAAATTTAAAAAAATAAATAAATAAAAATTTTAAAAAACATTAAAAAAAAAAACTAGAAAAGAATTACCAAGTAACCCAGCAATTTCACTTCTAGGCTTATACCCAAGCCCAACTGAAAACATATCTATATATATAAATAGCCAGCGACTGGAATGCCTTAACAACCGGTCACTATGATGCCCATTCGGCCACCAAACCACCCGATTGAGGATTAGCCAGTGGCCAACCCCCTCAGCCCCTCCCACTGGCCAGCCCACCCCTGATTGGCATCTTCTACCCCGATCAAGGGGGGAGGGGGTGGCCAGCCAAATCCCCAGAGACCTTTCCCCTGGGCCAGGCCGCCCCCAATTGGGCTGTGGCCACTCCTCCTGGCTGGCCCAACCCCTGATCATCCCCCCTATCCCAAAAGGAAGCCAGGTAGACCGGCCAACCAACCTCCTGCAGCCCCTTCCCCGAACCAGCCCTACCCCTGATTGGTCCTCCCACGCTGATCAGGGGCAGAGCCAGCTGGCCAGCCACCCATGGCCCCTCCCCCAGGCCGCTGGCCCCCAACTGCTCCCCCATTCGGGGGTGGGGCTGGCCAGCCGACAATCCCTCCCCACAACTGCCCCACCCCCTATCAGGCCCCCACCCTAGTCAGGGGTGGGGGCCCACCAGCCAATCGCCCTTGGACCCTCCCCCCAACCACCCCCTAAATAGGGGGTGGGGCCCGCCAGTCCATCCCACAGCCCCTTCCCCCAGCCAGCTAGCCCTGATCAGCCTGATTGGGATAGGGCTGGCCAGACCCCATCTGTGCACAAATTCATGTACTGGGCCTCTAGTGTTCATATAAAAATGTGTACATGTATGTCCATAACAGCATTATTCACAAAAGCCAAAAAATAGAAATAATCCAAATGTCCATTGCCCAATGAAAGGATAAACAAAATATGCTATATCCATATAATAGAATATTATTCTACCATAAAGAGAAATAAAGTACTGGTACATGCTACAACGTAGATAAACCTTAAAAACAGTATCTCAAAAGGCCACATACTATATGATTCCATTTATATTACATGTATAGGCAAATCCATAGAGAGAAACTAGATGAGTGATTACCAGGGTCTGGGGGCGGGGTGATTGCTAAGAGGTACAGGGTTTCTGTTTGGGGTGATGAAAATATTCTGGAATTAGTACTGATGGCTGAACAACCTATGAATATATTAAAAACCACTGACCTGTACACGTTTAAAAGGGTGAATTTTATGGTATGTAAATTATATCTCAATTAAAAGAAAAAAGACTGTAGTCCTAAATCCCCACAGACATTTGATTTTTGCAGGGTATTAAGAACTTTTCCTGTCTCTGATTCCTTCATTATATGATCCTTGAGAGGTGCGCTTCCTCCCTCAGCACCATAATGGCCCAGTAAGCTGGCCCCACGTGAGCAGAATAGAGGGGAAAGTTTAGCCCCATCCTGGTTAGACAGTAGCTCAGACTAAATGAGGCCCACCCCTGACCCCTTTGTAGTCCATGTTCAAGACCCCAGCCCCAGCCAAGGCTCATGACCAGGATGGAAGTAGCCTCCGACCTCCCCCCCCCCCCCCACCCTGTGCCCACTCGCACCTACCTGCTCATTCTTATGCTGGGTCATGTGGGACTTGAGCTGGAAGTAAGTGCTGAACTTGCTGGGGCAGAACTGGCATAGGTAGGAGCTATCGATGAGGACCACCTGCTTGCCCTCCAGCTTCTCCCCTTCATCCTCACCTGCTGTGGGCAAGGCCTGGGGCTGTGGGGCACTCGACAGTGTCTGGCCCAACCCTATGGAGAAAGTTGGGAAGAGAAGTCACTGAGGAGGGCAGAGGAAGCATCAGGACAGAGACCACTCAGGAAGGATCATGGAATATCTCCTACGTGCTCCACTGTGCACACCCACAACCACCACATGCGTGGTGTTGGACACAGTACTCAAGGCCCTGCACTCAAAGACAGTTGGTATGCACTGATACCACACTTCCTGGTGCTAAAATACTGAAATACTTACATTCCAATTGAGGAATAGGTATTGCCTCAAGTCTCCCACCCCTGACCTCCCCCTCGGACACCCCAGACCTCTCTCCATGGTTGTTAAAAATCCTGAACACAGCTCCTAGCTATACTCATCCCGCCTCCCCAGCTCCTTGTTCTCATTACACTCATTTGTTTGGTTGTCCTTCCCTCACATTCTCAGAGGACGGGGGCCTGGCACAGAGCAGGCCTCCATAAATGTTCGCTAAATGCCCGAACCCTTGGTGCTAGGCACTGTAGGAGTTTAAAAGAAATAGGGAAAAAACGGTTTCTTCTCCAAGAACTCACAAAGACTCCAAGTGCGCACATAGAATGGCTAAATGCACAGCAGGACTAGATCCAGCAGGGAGATGATAGAAAGTGGCCATGTGCTTTTTGCACAGCAAAACTCCCCTGCGTTAGCTGGCACGTGGCAGGTGTTGCTCACCCACGGGGCTGCAAAGGACAGCCCCAGCCTTACATCGTCCCATACAATGGCAAAGAGCCACATGTGGCAACTGAGAACTCAAAATCTGGCTCGTCCCAATCCAGATGTGCTATAAATGGAAATGGATTTTGGAAACTTAGCATAAAAAAAAGAACATAAAATATCTCATTAATCATTTCTTTATATTACATGCTAAAATGACAATATTAATATATTAGGTTAAATAAAATATATGATTAACATTAACTTCACCTTCTTTTTATATTTTTTAAAAGACAGATTATTAATCTTTTATTATTATACCACGTAACAGTGGAATAAATTATTTAGAGTTAGCACATGTACGGGTATGGGAATTAGGATGGTCAGTGGTGTTTTAGATTAAATACACAGAACTTTGTTTTTTAATCACCCCCCCTTTTTTATTTCCTTTAGAATAGTCCTAGAGCATCAATCAATGTTGGGTGGTTTCTTCCAGCAAGTCCTTTGCTTCATTTATACTGGTTGCTAAGTTGGGAGATCCACCTGTATCTGCATGATTCAAAATCATGATTCTCCTGCGAACTGTTCTAATCTTGGCCTTGTCAGCAGATGGGTTTACACCCAAAATAAGACTAGCTTTTTGCCTTCCCATTTTCTGTTCAAATCCTCCTTTATAGTAGGATAAAGGCTAGGAGCTGAAATCTTCTTTGTAGTTTCTATGATTACTTGTTCCAGAAGTTTCCAGATCTGAAATACAGAGCAACTTGCAAGTGCAAAAGCTGCACCACCCAGTGCTAAGCTATCAGGCTTCTTGCCAGGCCCCAGTCCATGTCCGCGTCAGGCTGTTTGGTCGAGGGCGGCAAGTACTTGGCGTGGTAGAGGCCCTCGCTGGAGGGGGCGACACCACCGAAGGCAGCCATGGCGAAGCGCCCAGGAAGACTGGCTTTTTATATTATTTTTATGTAGCTATTAGGAAATTTCAAATGGCATGTGTTGCTCATATTATATTTTTCCTGGACAGTGTTGCTGTAATTAAACCAATATTGAGGAAAAGGTCATTAGCTCAGGGACAGGTGATGGCTTTGATGACAATTTTACAATCTATAAAGACCTTTGGAGATCACCTGACCATAGAGGCCAAATAGATTTCAATTTCAGATAAACTGAGAGTAACTGCCTAGAGCCATCTATTGAAAATAGATTCTGAGGTGGTATCCAAACTCAGCAAAAATGATAGATGATTGATTAGTGATGTTTGTCATGGCTTCAGCATTAGAGTAACATCACAAAAATGATATATTTGTTACCCTCCTTTCATCTTACACCCCACTTTATAACTGAAGTAGACTGAAGCCCTAAGAGGTCAAGGAGGTCGCCCAAAGCCGTACGGAAACGAAACCCATGAAGCTGCAGAGGAGAGGTGTGGGGAGAGTGGCGCTCCCCCCTTCAACCCACCTGTGCTCTCCTCGTCCTCCTGTCGGCTGGGGTTCAGGGCCATGACCTGCACAGTCACAGAGTTGCGTGAGATGGTGCCACCACTGCGCCCTGGAGGCCACACCTTGTGGGTCTGCATGTGTTTCTTGACATTAGACTTCTGGGCAAAGGCGCGGCCACATGCAATGCACTGGAAGGGTTTCTCACCAGTGTGGCTGCAGGAAACAAGACTAGTCAGCACCCTCGTGTAGGAATCGAGATGTGACCTCAACCCCGGAGCTCATGGCCACCAGGAAGCCCAGACATAACATCTAGATGTTGCTGGCAACCATTCTGACACCATAAGGACAAGCCCGCTTGCTGGGCAGGCAGACCAGCCAGAAAGACCCTGTGCTCTTGGTGGCATTACTGAGCTGCTGAACCAACCAGCTCTGGAGCTAACTTTCTTCATGACCATCTTATACTGTGAGATGAAACATTTTCTAACTATTTAAGCCCATTTAAATAGGGATTTCTGTTATTTAAAGGAGAAAATATCCTAGCTATCACAGCACAGCACTTGTATCATTATTTACTATTTTCCTTCAAATAAATTCTACATTTTTTTTTAAAAAAAATACGTTTTTACTGATTTTAGAGAAAGGGGGAGAGAGAGAGAGAGAAACATTGATGTGAGAAATATCAGTCAGTTGCCTCCTGTATGCACCCGACCAAAGTTTGAACCTGAACCTGGGCATCCCCTGACCAGGAACTGAACTGGTGAATTTTTGGTGCGCAGGACAACACTCAAACAACTGAGCCACGCCAGCCAGGGCCGATTCTATGTTTTATTTCTTTTTATTATTATTTTTTATTATTTTTTTTAATTACATACATGTTATTTTCAAAACTTGAATGTTAAGAGCAAAACTCTGGCTATTAAATAATAACAACAATGCCAATGCAAAACAACAAAATGAGAAATCAGAATTATGGACATATTAATATTTTTAGCTACTAAATTAGTCTCTTTTGTTGCTGGTGTAGATTTACTCAGAGTCCTTGGACTTGCTGCACAAGACTTTGCAGAAGACTGGAAGCTAACAGATGCTAGCATGAGCAATTCTATGTTTTAAAACAAAATATTTTAAGATGACGCTTCCACTTGTTATTGTATACAGAAAATCATTGTCATAAATATGAAGTAACCAAAAAGCAATAATTTATAAAATGATCTAGAGCTGCATTGCCCAATAAGGTAGACATAAACCACACGGACTATTTAAATTTAAATTCATTAAAATAAAAATTTCTATTTCTCAATCATACTAGCCACATTTCAAGTACTCAATAGCCATTTATGATTAGTGGTACCCCATTAGACAGTGCCGTTTTGGGCATTTCCACCAGAAAGTTCTACTGCACAGCACCGGTACAGACCAGTAGAGACCAGTGATTCTCTAATGCGATTGATTTTGCCCTTCACAGAACATTTGGCAATATTTGGAGAGACTTTTGTTTGTCACACCTGAGAAATGAGGAATGCTATTGTCATTTAATAGTTATAGGTTAGGCCCTAGCTGGTTTGGCTCAGTGCATAGAGTGTCAGCCTGTAAACTAAAGGGTCCTGGGTTCAATTCCAGTCAAGGGCACATGCCCAGGTTGCAGGCTCAATCCCCAGTAGGGGGCATGCAGGAGGCAGCCAATCCATGATTCTCTTTCATCATTGATGTTTCTCTCTCTCTCTTCCTCTCACTTCCTCTCTGAAATTTAAAAAATACATATGTATACATTTTTTTTTAAATAAACAAACATGAGCTAACACATGACAGGTATTAGGAGAGACTAGAATCAAATTGAGGCTTTCTCCTTTGACTCTCCAAGAACTGAAAGAAATTGAAGAGAATAATATTTTCACTATGTCTTTCAGAACTTTTCGAAACCATGTCCAAGAACCACCTAAAATCATCTCCTGTACCAATTACCCCACTCTGAGAAACACTGAACAAGTCCACCCTTCTACTTCACAGAAGAAAGACCTGTGCACCAGAGGGGTTCCTATATGTTCTTGGAACAAGAGATGTTGTGGTTAGTCCTGAGTGAGCAGTAGTCATATTCGCAGAGCATGGCAGCCCCTGAGGCCAGCCCTTTCTGCAGAGGTAAGGACTGGGGCACCACCCCTCATGCCTGCAAAGCCCCTTTCAGTTCAGATCCACTTCTCCCCTACCTCACCCCACTTGGACCCTCCCCATCATAGTGGGCAGGCCCCACAGCGTTCACAGACCCTCCGTTATTCCTGGAAGAGAAGAGGGAAAATCATCCTGACCTGGACTGAAGTTCTGAGAACCATGACAGGACAGATGGGGCCTCAGACACCACCCAGGTTAGGAGGCTGGGAAGGGACCCTTGCTTCCACAGCAGATGGCTCCCCAGGAGCCACCTGGCCCACCAGCCTGGGTACCTTCGGATGTGCTGCTGCAGGTCGAAGTTTTTGGTGAAGGACTTGTCACAGTATGAGCACTTGAGTTTCTGAGCCTTTGGCTTCCCTGCAGCTGAAAGACAAAGTGGGAGGAGCGAGATGGTGAGGCTGGGGGTAAAACCATGGGTGCTGTGAGCAGCCGCCAGCCACTCTGCTCCCGGGGCCTATGGCCAGAAATCCCAGAGCCTGGGATCTCCTCATGCACCCGCAGGGAAAGAGGCACAGGTGAGCCTCCGGAGTTCTGGGGGGAGGAAGCCTAGGACATGCTCGGCCCGGGAGCAGGACAAACCCCCTCAGAGGCTCCCCTCTGCCTTAGGATAAAATCCGACCTCTCTGCTGTGACCCACAGGCCTCTGCCTTCTCTGCTTCCTGCCAACCTCATTGTTCTCCCCATCTAGCTACAGCAGACTCCTTGCCAACCTTGAAAGACCTCAAATAAGATCCCACCTCAGGACCTTTGAACCTCCTGGGCCCCCTTACCTGGTACCCTTGTCCTCAAGGCTGTTTCCTTCTCATTCCCAGATGGGTAGGTCGCATTATTCTCAATCATAGTACCCATTAATCTCCTTCCTAGAGTAACCCATAAATATTTATTTATTCCCTGACTGTCTTTTCCATTAAACTGCGACAACTGTGGGTAGGGAAATCCTGGAACAAGATGCTAGATCCCGTGTCTGACATCGAACTCAACATATATTTGTGGAAGAAAGGCTGACAGGAAGATCCTGAAAATTTCTCAATTTATCTGTCCTTCTTACCCGCCAGCATTTTCTGACTCTGCTTCCAACCCGTACCAGTGGCAGACATTATTTCTTGTCTGCCTAATCTCCATTCTCCCGTTCTTTCCTCACAGGTGCTCTACCTATGGGGAACACTTCCCAGCTTCCTTTGCTCCTAGATATGCTCATGTGACTAAGTTCTGACCAATGAGATGCAAGCAAAAGCATCATGCAGAACTGCTAGAAGCTGGCAGATGGCCCTTTTTTTCCTTCTTACTTCTTAGAATATGAAATTAATGAGCTCTAGTAACCATCTTACATAACAAGGCAGCCTGATAACAGAAGCCACGCACCAGGGATGGCAGAGCAGAAAGATAGAGGAAATGTGGGTTTCTGGTGACCATATAGGCACACAATCTCCTGATTGCTACCTCTGGCCTTGTTTTGCACAGGAGAAAAAATTCTATCATTTTGAAGTCACTCTTATTTTGGATTTTTCATTACATGCAAACAAACTTAATTCTAATCATCATAAAAGGGAAGACTAGAACTAAGCAGCCTGTGGACAGGCCAATGCTGAGGAAGGATGCTCAGCCTGTGGGCCCACCTTCTGGGAGTCCACTGGCACCCTTGGCCCGTCGAGTCTTCAGCGCTGGAGGGGAGTCAAAGGTGGCCACCGTGCCCCCAGTGGCGTTGGTCATGGGGGCAGCGGGGTTGGGTCCTTTTGGTTTGAATCCCTGTTTGCCGGGGCTGTACACTGGGGGTGCGGGGTATACTGGAGCCTCCACACACTGGTTTGGCACCTAGAAGGACAGCAGAATCAGGGAGAGAGCTCTGGGATGGGAGGGGGAAAACCATCCCAGCCAGGAGGACCCTCACAGTGGCCCTGGCTGATCTCAGCCACTCCCCACCTACAGCACCATCCTAATTCCCCCACCTAGCTCAGCCACCCCAGTCACTCCCCGAACCCTTTTGAACTTCATGAAGTCAGAAGGTTAGAAGCAGCTTTGGAGCCAGGGTGCTTGGGTTCAAATTCTGACTCTAACATTGATTTAAAAAACAAAACAAAAAAACTCTAAGAGATCTTGGGCAAGTCTTTAAATTTCTCTGTCTCAGTTCTCACATCTGTAAAAGAGGCTAATCATAGTACCCCTCTCATCAGGTTGTTGTGTGGATTAAATGAACTAATAAGAGTTTAGAATAGTGCCTAAAATATAGTTAAGTACTCAATAAACATTACCTATTGTTATCGCCACTATTATTATTATTGTAGCTTGTTGAAAAGAAGAAACAGGAAGTCAGAAAGGTGTGTACCCCCCAGCTACTCCACTTCTTTTTATTTTTTGTTAATCCTCACCCTAGGATATTTTCCCATTGATTTTTAGAGTGGAAGGGAGTGGGAGAGACAGAGAGAGAGAAACACTGATGTGAGAGAGAGAGATCAATTGGTTGCTTCCCTGCAACTGAGATATGTGTCCTTGACTAGAATCTAATCCATGACCCTTCAGTCGGCTGGCCGACGCTCTACCCACTGAACCAAACCAGCTAGGGCTGCTACTCCACTTTTTAAGTAACCCTGTCAGACACCACACCAGCAGGCATCCCTCAACCAAGAATTGACATTGAAACCACAAGAAATTAGCTAATGAATTCTGAGCCATTCAAACTTAGTTTAACATTATGACTCTCATGCATTGTGGGAAGCTTGGAACCACAGTCCTAGACTACCTTGCCAGCACAGTTCTGAACACAGATTGAGTTCTGCTCACAAGAAGCATGACATGTGGAAGGCAGAAGGGAGACAGAAACCACTCTCCAGCAGCTGTGTTGAGTCAGGTGGATTTAGTCATGAGCTGTGCAGTAGCTGACTGAACTCTACATCTCCTTCCTGACAACCAGCCCCAAGGACAGCAGGGCAACCGAACAACCACAAGGCATCCTACAGTTTCCTCAGCTCTGGGGGCAGCAGCTGTGCCCTGGCTCTCCAGGACAAGCAACAACAGAGAATCTGAAAACCAGTTTTGCTCGCCACCCCTGACTTTTGCTTCTCTAGCCCTTCCACCCACTTTGTAAGCACCTAAGTTCTTGCATTTAATCCTTCTGCCAGAAATACCTAGAGTGGTTTCTATTTTCCTGGCCAATACTACACTCAATAAATACCTGTCATGTGAGTGAATTCACCCATCATTCAAGTTACTCCTGAGCAATTATGTGACTGCCACTGGATTATCTCTCATGATCCTCAACAGCTCCATGATCTGAGGATCATGGAGTTGCCAAGGGAGTTCCTATTTTAGAGAAGAAACTGAACTCAGAGAGTCCAATTTCAAATACCTACTATAGGCCAGGCACTCTGTTAAGTGCTAAGGATGCAAAAATCAAAGACTCAGGCACCAACCTCAAAGACTATGCAATTCTACATGGAAAATAAAAAGTGGCACCTCCCCCTGTACTGGCCCCTCTGCCTACCAGGCCACCACCATCCTCTCAGCATCTCACTGACTTAACTTTCCCTTTTTAATACAACAAAGTCCCAGAGCCTGCAAACCTTCTTGCAGGCTCTCATAACATCACATGGCTGGAGGGAGAATATCCCACTTGTCCGGTTCTCCTTACATATAGATGCCATCTGACATGGAATGTCTGTCTGTACGAATGACTCCAAGATGACTGGGATAATGTGACCTCAAATGCAGGAGGGCTCTTTGTCATAACCATACCCCTAGCACTGGTGTCTAAGAAGATTCTGAACTCTTATCACCTTGACAGTAGACTGCTTATAGCCCAGAAGAGCTCTTCAGCAGGGAGTTAGAATGGTTTACATGGTGTATTGATTGCATAATGGCCTCAATTCTTTACCTCTCCGTGCCCGTGCTCTTTACAATGTGACTTTGCAGCTTTTCCTATTAAGAGATGGCATCTATTTCCTTATTTATTTATTTTTAAATATGTGTTTATTGATTTTTAGAGAGGAAGGGAGAGGAATAGAGAGAGAGAAACATGGATGAGAGAGAAACATCCCTTATTTGGCATGTGCCTGACCGGGAATTGAACCAGCAACCTCTTGGTTTATGGATCAACGTTCAGCCCCTGAGCCACCCTGGCAGGGCTTCCATATTTCTTAAATCTAAGCTGGCCTTAGACCTGCTTTGAACAATAGAAGTGACACTGTGTTACAAGCCTAAGCCTCAAGAAGCCTTGAGCATTTCTGCCTGCATTACTGCATCTCCATCATTGTTTGACTAACCCGCTGGCTAATGAAAGATGGTGGAGCAGAGCTGTGTTACCCCACTCATCCCACCCCAGGCCGTGGTAGAGCAGCCGACAGCCAGCCAACCTCGGACACAGGGGGAGCCCGGCCAAGATCAGCAGAGTTGCCACACTGACCACAATAGAAGTGAGAACAAGAATGGTTTTTCCTATTTGCCACTAAAACTTTGCGGGTATTTCTTACAGAACCATAGCTAACTAATATATCTTGCTAGTTTTTTTTTTAAAAGATACACAAAGATACTTTTTGGAATCATCTCCCCAACAAACAGGTAATCTCTGACTGTTCTGAGCATTCCCTGAGGGCTGCTTGCATGCTACACCCTCTATTTCACACTGCCTTTTCATGGTCTGCATTTTACATTTACAGCAGTATGACCTGATTAAAGTCCCTCTCTCCCCTGAGGTGGTACACAACATGATCTGGTTTTGCAACCCCCCATCATGGTATCTCCTGCAGAGTCTGGCACACGTTTGGTGCTTATGAAAGGTCTGGGTTACCCATAATGACCATGACCAGTTTCCCCCTTCCACCCCAAACCCCACCTCTGCTCACCTCCAGGGGTGGGTAGGCCTGCATTCCCAATGCCTGGATCTCCACTGTCCCACTTCCAGCCAGGGGCGCCGCGGCGCTGTACACCTCCACCACGCCATTCCCACCAGGGTTGGAACGCCCGGCGGGACCCAGGCTCTGAGGTGGGGGTGGAGGTTGAGGGGGTGGGGGTGGGGGCAGCGGTGGAGGGGGTTGAGGGGGTGGTGGAGGCTGAGTGAGGTAGCTGGGCGCAGAATGCATGTTCAGGCTACTCTGAAATCAGAAGAGAAAATTAAAGCGTCATAGTCTCTTGACACCAGCTCTCGTTTATCAGTGAGGAAGGACATTTGCCTTAGCTGTGTGGGAAGAACGGCCACTCCCAGGGCAGCGCAGAGGACAATGCTGAGAGGGGGCTTGGAAAGGAAGTTATGTGAGAATTCAGAGGAGCCATCAGCTAGGCGCTGCTATTCCTTTCCTTTGTGAAGGTCAGCAAAAATGGCCCAGTGTGTGCAGGAATGAGTTCACACGGCCGGCCGAGTGTTGCTGTCTTCAGAAAGGCTTGCTTATAGGACTGGCTCTTCACTGGCATCTGAGAACCTGCCTTGTAGAAGGTTCCCTATGTTGATAAGGCTCTTTTGCCCAACTGGGGCAACCATACTGTGTCAACTCACCTAGACTGTCTGCACAGATAATGTGATTTATGGTGAACACTTCCTTACCATCTGGGCGTCTAGAGTTTTTATCATCATGGCTGGATATCTGTGACCAATCCCCAATAAAAGCCTGAAACTCAGAGTCTTAGGTGTGCTTCCCTGGGCAGAAACACTGCACACGTGCTGCTGCTCTCCGTTGCTGGAGGAATAAGTGTGCTTTGTGTAGCTCTCCCTGATCCCCCAAGGAGGAGAACTTTGGAAACCTACCCCTGGATTCCTCTGGACTACAGCCGATGTGCCTTTTTCCCTTCTGACCCTGCTATGCATCCTTTGCTGTAATAAACCACGGCCATGAGTACAACCATCCTAATCCTGGGAGTCTTTCTAGGGCACATGTGTCAAACACAAGGCCCGCGGGCCAAATCCGCTCCGCCAGGCCTTGCAATGTGGCCCGCACCGCGCTGTCATCACTGCACTCCGCTGCGTTTCCATCACAATGACAGTTTATGACTGTTCAGTAAACCATTCGGCCCGCGATTTAGGCTGGATTTTAGATTTTGGCCCCTTCTCTGATTGAGTTCGACACCCCTATTCTAGGGAGTCACCACACAGGTGGGTGGCTATGGATCCCTGAAACACAGCCATGGATTCAAAAATTTATTCTACAAAAATAATCAAGCAGGTGGACAAAGATATCTACACATGGATGTTATTCCAGCTGTTTGTTTGTTTGTGGTTGTTTTGTGTTTTTTTTTTGTGTGTGTGTGTGTGTATGTGTTTTAAAAATATATTTTATTGATTTTTTGTAGAGAGGAAGGGAGAGGGGTAGAGAGGTAGAAACATCGATGAGAGAGAAACATCGATCATCTGCCTCCTGCACCCTCCACCCCCCACTGGGGATGTGCCCGCAACCAAGGTACATGCCCTTGACTGGAATCGAACCTGGGACCTTTCAGTCCACTGGTCAATGCTCTATCCACAGAGCCAAACCGGTTTGGGCACTCGAGCCGTTTTTATGACAGCAAAAAGTGGCAACAACCTACATGCCCATCCACAGAAGCCTGGCTAAGTAGAGGGTGACCCATCACATGATGGAATCCTTTACATCTGTTAAAACGATGATGCTGAGCAGTTTTTCATAAAGGTGCTCCTTTTAACTGCTCTTTCTTGGGTTTCACAGACAAATACATTTTGGGAAAAATCTGGGATGACAGAATCAAAAGTATTTCTTTACTGCAGGGGAAAAAAAACAGGGATTAAGCAAGGGAAGACGTAGAATGCCTCCACTTTAGGCTGGTTTGACCGGGGACCCTTATTATATTGGAAAATCCCAAGGAGCCAGTATTCCAATGAACTTTTTGGGAAATACTGATGTACAGTTATAGGCATAGAGAATGAGGTTAAACAAAAGGCAAAGTAAGAAAAGAAAATTCTAGAACTGTGCATATAACATGACCCATTTATAAAGGTGTATATATTATAAATGGTTTTTTTAAACTTATTTCTAATTTTATTTGTATTCAATGTCAGGAAAGCCAAAATTCTGATAGTGCTTTGAGTGGAGAGAATATGAGTGACTGATTGATTGATTTCCCAATTTTTATCCTGAAAAATTCCCAACTTAGAGAAAGATTGCAAAAATAATACATTGAGCCTTTCTGATTTGGCTCAGTATATAGAGCAGCAGCCTACAGACTGAAGGGTTTGATTTTGATCAAGGGCATGTACCTCAATTGCAGGTTCAATCCCTGGCCCTGGTTGGGGCACATGCAGGAGACAACCACTCAATGTGTCTCTCTCACCATTGATGATTCTATCTCTCTCCCTCCCTCTCCCTTCCTCTCTGATATCAATTAAAAAATATATATTTTTAAAAACCCTCTATTAAAAAAAAAGAATATATTGAACACTCTTCATACTTAATTTAATTCACTCAGTTATTACACACATATATCTGCTGTTTCAAGCCACCTGAGAATTAGCTACATACATCATAACACTTTGTTCCTCAAAACTGTACTCAGATACATCTCCTAAAAACAAGGATATTCTCCTATATAACCAAAATTCAATCATCACACTCAGGAATCTATCTTTATAAAAGCCTAAACTATCCTTATGACAGGTCAACTGAATGATAGGTCGACCGTTCGCTATGACGGGCACTGACCACCAGGGGGCAGATGTTCAATGCAGGAGCTGCCCCCGGTGGTCCGTGTGCTCCCACAGCCAACCTCCCACAGCAGGTTGGCCCCGATAGATCCACCCGTGCACAAATTCATGCACCGGACCTCTAGTTGGATGTAAATTTAATACTATTATCTAAAATATTCAAATTCTGCCGAATCCAGTTTGGCTCAGTGGATAGAGCGTCAGCCTGCGGACTGAAGGGTCCCAGGGTCGATTCCGGTCAAGGGCATGTACCTTGGTTGTGGGCACATCCCCAGTAGGGGGTGTGCAAGAGGCAGCTGATAGATGATTCTCTCTCATTGATGTTTCTAACTCTCTATCCGTCTCTCTTCCTCTCTGTAAAAAATAAATAAAATATATTTAAATAAATAAATAAAATATTCAAAATCCTTTATATTCTAATTTCCCCAATAATGCTTTTATAGCTCCACCCCACACAACCCAGGATCTAGCCAAGAAATGCACATTGCAGTCAGTTACCATTATCACTTTACTTTCCGGGTTATGAATAATTTTTTTATTTTTACTTTTCTTGAGTATTTTCTAATGGGCATGGAACACTTTTGTTAAGAATAAAAACAGGAGTCAAAATAGCTGGACTGTGGCTATGAAATTCCAAAGTCACATTCTGGGTCCCCATGAATGTGGCAGCCTTCCCACCCACAGGGCTGGGCGAGGGAAGCCAGCTGTCCTCCTCAGCATGGGGGAGAGCTGGGGACAAGCCCCCTTCTTTCTACAAGATTCTGAATCTTCAGGAGTCAACATGCAGGCCTGGAATAAGATCCTGTGAAAAGTTAGCCCCCTTCTTACCTGCACAGGCGGGGGGCCCTGGGGCATCGGTTGGTCCAGGGATGTGAAAGCTGACATGGCAGACATGAGCACATCATCGCTCACCAGGATGTTCCCCTGCACCAAGGTCTGGATCAGCGGGGATGGGGGCACTGTGATGTACGTGGAGATCTGGGGGCGAGGGGGAGCGGGAGGGGGAGGGAGGGAGGGAAGGAGGGAGGGGAAAAGAGAAGCATGAACATGTGTGAGGCTCTGGAAAGAAGCAGAGAGCAGGATGCAAAAGATCTGGGTTCCGAAGTCCCACAGAACTAAATTCCATTTCCACCTCTCTGCTACTCTCTGCTGCTGTGTGATCCTGAGCAAGTCACTCCACCTCTCTGAACCTCCATTTCCCTATCTATCAAATGGGAGGAGTAAGTCATACCTCCCTGTAAGGCATATAACCTACGACCCAGAAATAACACTTCCGGCATCTATCCTAGAGAAGTACACATGTCCACAGGGAGTTCATGAACATGAGTATTCTGCACAGGGTTGTTTCTTTTAATTCAATGGATTAAAAAGTACAATACAAGTTGGTCCGAAGGTTGTGGGTTATTGTTAAGCTGATTAAAAAGTACAATACAGTCATGAGTAGAATACTGTATTGAATACAGATAAAAAGTATTGCATAGGCCCGGAGCAGCCGGGTCTGGTGCAGCCAGGCCCGGAGCAACAGCTGCCAGGCTGGGAGCAGCTGCCAGGCTGGGAGCGGCCAGGCCCGGAGCAGCCAGGTCGGGTGTGGCCAGGCCCGGAGTAGCAGCTGCCAGGCTGGGAGCGGCCAGGCCCGGAGCAGCCGGGTCATGTGAGGCCAGACCCGGAGCAGCGGCTGCCAGGCTGGGAGCGGCCAGGCCCAGAGCGGCTGGGCCCGGAGCAGCAGTAGCCAAGTCCAGAGCAACTAGGTCGGGAGCAGCAGTGACCAGACCAGGAGCAGCTGGTTGTGGAACGAACCAGAGCAACAGAGGCCAGTCCCGGAGCAGCCAGGCCCGGAACAGCTCGCTCCTCGCCTGCCCCTGCCCCACGGCTGCCTCTCAGACATGGCTGGAAACTTTTGCGGGAACTTGAGGGTCTGCTGAATCAAGTGATGAAGGCTTAGATCTGGATGTGTTGAGTTAGTATAGCGCTGGGGTGTTGATCTGTGAGTGCCTTGGGTGGGGCCTGGATGAGGCAGGTTGACCTATTTGGAAATGTCTTTTGTGTGAAGTGTATCATTGGGCATGTGGAGGTATTATTGATATGAGAAAATGCTAAGTAACTGATTTACTATCTGAAAAGGGATTTACTATCGGGGAAAGGGAGGGAGGAAGAGACTGAACATAAACTGTGCACCTATAAATGAGGACAATGGGGGATGGGAAGGGGGCGGAGGGTGGGGTGGGAACCTGGTGGAGGGGGGAAGAAATGAGGAACCTTTGTAATAATATGAACAATAAAGATTGATTAAAAAAAAAAGTATTGCATAAAAAATCAAATTATATAATAACACGTACATTATGTACTTTTATTTTTAAAAATAGAAAATAATATTGTATAATTCAAAGAATACAATTCAAAGAATACTTAAATAAATATGCCAATGTATCTTAAAAGGTGAGGAGAATACTATCAGTTGTTAGCTGGGGACAGGGAGAGGAATAGTGCCAAAGAGGCCTGGACTTGTAACATTTTTGTACAAAGAAGGGAAACATGTATTGCTTTCAAACAAGAGAATGAATAATAAAAATGATAATATGCTCTCACGTTAGCAGTGAGGATGAGAGGCAGATCTTATAAAAGAGTGTCAAACCTGCCATGGCTGCTCCTGTTAGTAGGTGGAAAGGATATTGTGTTTTGTTTACCTGTTGCTTTTCTTTTCTAATTTTTATTTATTGATCTGAGGGAGAGAGAAAGAAGCATCAGTTTGTTGCTTCTCTTACTTATGCATTCTTTGGCTGGTTCTAGTGTGTGCTCTGACTGGGGACCAAGCCTTTGCATCAGGATGACACTCGAACCAACTGAGCTACCTGTCAGGCCAGTTGTTGGTGTTCTGAAGTTATTTTCTCTGCCCAGGACTGAAAGAATTTTCCCTCTCCTTTTATTGGGGGAAGAAAAAAAAAGGTGTGTGTGTGGGGGATATTTTCTGATAACTAAACTCATATTCAAAGAATAAGAAAAAAAACTGTGTTCAGTGTTTTATGTCTGTAGCAACTTGAAAAATTTCAGTCTACATATCCTATGGGCCTGGGCATGAAGGCTTTCGTTTTGATGACAAGAATTACAAATACTACAAGAAAGGAAGATAATATTTTAAAGAAATGAGGAGGAAGTCAGGGAATTTCGACTCCTTGACCTGGCATCCGGAGACATGCCCAGCTCCCTTTATGGAGATTCTTTAAGCCCTAAGGCAGCGGTCGCCAATCTTTCAGACCTCACAGACCACCAGGGGTCCGCGGACCACCGGCTGGTGACCACTGCCTTAAGGAATCCCACCCTGGGTGTCTTTGCTCCAGACTGTGTACCTGACTGAGGACTCTAGAAACTTCTCCAGACACCTCCAGCCAGGCCCTCTCCCCTGTCCTCCAGAGTTGTGTATCTGTCTGCATCTGCACAGCGGCCTCCACATAAAAGTCTAATGGGCAACTCAAATCCAATATGTCTGGCTGGACTCCTAACATCCCCTCCACTCTTCTCCTAGCCGTTTCCCCATATGGGCTAATGGCAACTCCAACTTTGGGGTCACCCTTGACTCCTCTTGACCTCACACCTCACATTCAATTTATCCACAAGCTCTTCAAAATAATCTCATCCTTCTCACAGCCTCTACCACTACCACCCTGATCAAGCCACCACCCTCTGCCTGGATTTGTACAACAGTCTCCTATTGTACAATGGTACAATATAGTCATGGATATTGACTCTGGCTTTCTCTCTTGACTGCCATTAAACTCTGTTCTCTCTACAGCATCCAGTGTGACCTAGTTAAAGTGTAAATCAGACCTTATCCCTCTTCTGCTCAAAACCCGGCCCCCGCCCCAATGGCTCCTATTTCTCAGAATAAAAATCCACAAGTCCCACATGATCTACCAAAATCCCCTGTTTGCCTCTCTGAGCTTATCATCTCCAACCCTCCTCCTCACTCATTCAGACCCAGCCACTCTCACCTCCTTGCTGTTCCCAGCACACAACTGCCTCAGGGGCTTTGCACTTGCTGATCACATATCCTGGAATACTCTTCCCCAAAATGGTTGCTAGATTCGTTCTCTCATCTCTGCTCAAATGTCAATTATTCACAGAGCCTACCCCAAGCACCATACACAAAAATGGCAAAAACTCCTACCCTTGTCAGGACATCCTCTGTCCCTCTGCATTTAACATCCTGAAAAAAGTATATCTCTACAAATCTGTTTGGGTGCTGTCTGTCTCCCTCGAATCCATGAGGGCAGTGACTTGGTCTGTTTGTCCATAACCACTGTACCCCTAACGCCTGCACAGTGCCTGACACACAGTGGGTACTCAAACCCTTCCTCCCCCCCAAACCTTGCTGAATGGATGAATAAAGAATTGAATGGGTACCTGGCGATTCGTGGGAGGCGGGGCCTGCGGGACTGCTGTGGGTGCTGCGGAAGGCGTGTAGATGCTGTTGGTGGCCAGTGACACTGTGGCCAGGGGCGGGGCATTCCCCTGGCACTGTTCCCGCTTGTGCGTCATAAACGCCGGCAGTGAGTTGAACTGCTTCTTACACTTCCCGCAGAGAAAGACGTCCTCATCATCTAGGGGTCACACCACACAGCAGCAGGAGGAGAAAAACAAAAGAAAAGCAATAAAGGAGCAGGTACCACAGTGAGAAGTGGGAGGAGACCTGCATGTGGGCCAGGAGGACAGCACTCGAACAGCATTCTGTGGCTGCATGTGCATGAGTCAAGTGCCAATTTTGTGCTTCCTAGGAGCTTTCAAAACCACACAGGCACCAACAGGAGGATGCCCGCTGTGCACGAAGGTATCAAAAAATTAGATTCAAGGAACAGTAAAGAGGGTTCGCTTCAAAGTTGAGAACTTCAGAATCTTTACCCTGCCTCAGTTTATTCATCAGCTGCCAAATGGGTCACATGATCACACTCCTCTGTGGCTTTGCATCCAGTTTTCACCTGCCAAGCTGCCTCACTCAGGCCAACTCATTCTACGAGGCTCAGCTCAGCTGTCACTTCCTCTAGGAAGCTTTCCTAAAGCAGTGGCCACAGTGCCTTCTCACATCACACATTTCTCATCACCACCAGACTGCGAGACCCCAAGGGAAAAAAATATGTCTTACTTTTCACCGTAAGTACAGTATCTCCTGGGCACATAGGAGGCCCTCAGTGGATGTTTGCTGAATGAATTAAAAAGTAAATGAATGATTAGCTACTTAACATGACCCATGACTGAGGGCCTACCACAGGCCACTCACTGTGCTAAGCACTTGGCATGTTGTGGCAGAAATGACAACTTGTCACTCAATATTCACTTCCAATACAAACTGCAGTGTGAAACACGGCTGTCTAGTTAAAGACTGTATTTCCCAGCCTTCTTTGCAGCTAGATATGTCATGTGATCTACTGAACTCTGACCAATAGGATAAGACCAGAGGTATAGTGTCTATGCAACTTCTCCTTAAAAGGAAGGAGTATGACTTACACTTCCATCTTTCTTCCTGTCATGTTGGCTGGAATGTGGAAATGAAAGTGAGAGGCTGGAGCAACCATCCTAGGCAGCATGTTGAGAATGGTACAGCCACAAGAAAGGAATCTGGGTCTCACCACGTCCACTCCAAATGCCCATCAGTACTCCATATAACAGAAAAATAAACTTTAATCTTGTATAAACTAAAACAGGTAGAATAAAATGTTCCCCAAAATTGTTCGATTGAGTTAGTCAAGCCAGAACTATGGCAGTTATTAATAGATAGCTATAGAACAATGGCCCAGGAATTAACCTGACTTCTCTTATCATTTTTGTTATTGTTGTTATGGAGGATACTCTCTCCATAGGTTTTCAGAGGGAGTGAAAGGGAGGAAAGAAGGGAGAGAAAGAGAGAGAGAAACATGGATGTGAGAGAGAAACATTGACTGATTGCCTCCTGCACACACCTGACCGGGGGTGGGAAATGAACCTGCAATCCAGGTATGTGCCCTCAACCGGGAGTCAAACCTAAACCCTCAGTGCATGTGCCAATGCTCCAACCACTGAGCCACATCGGCCAGGGCTAACCTGGCTTCTTTTAAGTTGTTTTTTAGATTTAAAGCCAAGCCACAAACCCTAGAGACAAACTCGATACCTGGTTGGAAAAGTCCCTTCCTGCATCCCAGAGCAAGTCTTGCACAATCCCAGAATGCCTTGCTTTACTGACACGTGCTCAGACTTCAGTGGGTCCCCAGCATTCTTACAAAGGAGGAAGCCAGCCAACCTACACTACGGTGGGTTAACCCCTGAAACTTCTGTGTTCCCAGGAATAAAACTCCCCACGCCCCACATTTGGGATGCAGAACCTGGGACCCTCTCTCAGTGTTCTTACCCCTGCAGAGCCTCAGTAAATCTGCCTTTGCTTTTATCAGTGTTCCTGGTCTAAATTCTCATATATCAGGAGAATAAGAACACAAAATCATTGATAACAAAACCACAAGAAACTTGCATTTCTTATTTATAACAGCTACAAAAGTATTCCCAGTATCCTCACCAGATTCCTATGGGGTAGGACTATTATCCCCATCTCACAGCTGTGAAAACTCGGACACAGAGAGGTTAACTCACTTGCCCAAAGACACAGAGCCAGGAACAAGGATTCAAACCCAGCTGTGTATCTCTCTGTTCCCAACATGGCTCCCAAGCACTCAACTCTGTTTGTGGAGTAAATAACTGAACACAGACTCCCAGAGGCTCTAACACCTGCCCCGTGTGGCTCAGCTGGTTGAGGGGAATCCCGTGCACCAAAAGGTCGCTGGTTCAGCTCCTGGTCAGAGCACAAGCCCTGGTTGTGGGCTCGATCCCTAGGAGGCACCCCGTCCATGTTTCTCTCTCTCTTTCTCCCTTTCCCTTGCTCTCTCTCCAAAATCAATAAAAACACATTTAATAATAATAATAAAAAAAAAAGAACTTCTCTGTCTTAGGGGCCTGGCCTGTAAGTTGGAGTCAGACTCATCCCGTCCTTTCCATAGAGGGGAGGCTGAGAAAGGACTTCTGGACCAAAGGCACAGACACTGCTAAGCAGCAGGTCGCCTGGTGTCACGACCCCCGCATTCACTAGCGATGGAGAGAGGGTGTTCTCAGGGCGGAGCAGAAAAAGGCATGAGCCTGAGCATCCTGCCTGGGAGGAGGGGGAGAAGGTTCGGACACCAGAGTGGGCGGTCCACTCCCACATCCCCTCCTGAGAACCACTTGTTTTTCACTGGTGAACCCTACAGATACTCACCCAGCGGCTGGATAGCAGGGGGTGCATTGACACTCGGGCCTGTTGGATCAGGGACTGCTCCTTGACCATCCAACAGCGACTGGACAGCCAGGACGGTCTGGTTGTCCATTCCTGAAAAAATAAAAGCAACCTCTTTGGAAGGTGGGCCGAGCACCCTGCTCTGACATCACCTTTACAAGCCAGACCCACTGAAAGCCCCTCCCCCCTGCAAAGACAGCTGATGGTGCCGATATACATGCTCTCCTACTTCCACGGCAACAGAACCCAAGACTTTGGCCAAAAGCGAGGCTCCAGAATAAAGATTACACTTCCCAGCCACTCCTGCAGCCTCTCCTGGAATGTTTAAGTTCTGGCCAATGGGGTGCATGTGGCACTTTCTGGGAAATTTTCTTAAAAGCTGCCTGGTATTCGACTCCTTTATTGTCCTATCCTCCATCTGCTTCCTAAAATAAGAATCCCAGGTCAGGAGGACAAGGGCCATGCCCCAGGGCAAAGCAAAAATGTGGAAAAATCCTGGGCCTCTGAGAATCTTGCAGAACACAGTCACCCTCCTACCTCTGGACTGTCTTCCTCCGAACTCCCATATGTGAGAAATGAACTTCTAGCCTATCTAAGCCACTGATAGGTTGTGCTGCTCTCTCTTTTTTTTTTTTTTTTTTTTTTAATATATTTTATTGGTTTTTTACAGAGAGGAAGGGAGAGGGATAGAGAGCTAGAAACGTCAATGAGAGAGAAACATCGACCAGCTGCCTCCTGCACACCCGCCACCGGGGACGTGCCCGCAACCAAGGCACATGCCCCCGACCGGAATCGAACCCAGGACCCTTCAGTCCCCAAGCCGACGCTCTATCCATTGAGCCAAACCGGTTTCGGCTGTGCTGCTCTCTTAATCATGGCTGGATCTAATCCTAAACAATACAGCTCCTCTGAAAATCACCAAGCCTTCCCTGTCCACACCCCACAAACCCCACAAATCTGTTTGCACTTGGGTAACCTTACCTCCCATTTTCCAATGCATGCTTGTCTTTTTTGTTCCTCAGTAAATAGCATAATCTTACTTTGTAGTCAGGGGACTCTTGAAAAGCAGACTATTTCCATGTTTTCCAACTGTTGAGGTTCACAGTAGTAAACCTGTCCAGCCATGTCACTAGCTGGAGGGCAGGCCTCGTCGCTCCTCAACCTATCTCCTCTCCCCACTCTCATTTCCATTCCTTCAGCAAATCTAGCCTTCTCTGTCTCCTAAACACCACTCAGGTTCACTTTCTCTCCAGCCCCACAGCTGTCCTTTGGGCCCACACCACCATCAGTTCTCAGCAGGACAACTGCAGTCATCTCATTCACCTTCCTGCTGCTCTTCTGGCCCCCTCAGAGGGGCCGGGTGAACTTTATAAAACATGTATCACATTGTGTTGCTCCCCTGCTGACAATCCTTTCTTAGCTCCACTGTGAATCCAGATAAAGTTCACAAGCCTCCTCTCTAGCTGCTCACCCATGTGAACTCCTGTGAATCCCTGCAAGACCTCTCTCACCCCAGAGCTTTGCAAATAACAGTCCCCACTGCCCAGGTCATCCCACTGCCCAGGTCATCTCTAGATCCCCACAGTCCTGCTGCCCTCCCCCTAGCCCAGCATGCATCACACTGTCCTAAGAACTGATATTTTCTTTAATTTATTCGTCACTCAATACACAAACACATTCTTGCAGTAAAAATTCAAACACTGATGAACGCCATGGGACCTAAGAGAAAGCAGGCCTCACCCCATCCTATTGCGGCCCCACCCCGCCATCCGAGAGAACCACCACCGACCCTGGCCCTCCACGTCCATCACCATCAGAGCCGTGATGCCAGCTGAGGTTGTTTTCCTTTACCGTTTGTCTTTTTTGTAAGGTAATTCGATACTGATAGATTAAATAAAGAGAAGGTAGACGGAGACAGGGATGGCAGGACACACACGGGCTTTATTGGAGGGAAGGGTACCCCTGCCGGCTGCTTCCAGGGAGAGGGGCGGAAGAGAGGGATGGGGCTTAGGGCACTCAGCACACGCTGATTAGTGATTAGGGACCTAGGGACTTAGGAATCGGGGGCTTAGGGTATTTGGCAGGTGCTGATTGGTGCTGGTTCAGAGCTCAGGAATGTCTGGCTGCAGGTGGGGTTTACGTCTGTCCATCAACTAGAGCAGTGTTTCCCAAACTTCTCTCATGACGAGAATCACCTGGTGGAGTTGTTAAACTACAGATTCCTGAATCCTAACAAAGTGCTCTAAGCACTAGTTAAGTATACAATTTTACCTACATGTTCCCAAAAATTCTAGTTTAGCACTTCTTAGTTGGGATTCAGGAATCTGTATTTTAACAATTCCACCAGGTGATTCTCGTCATGAGAGAAGTTTGGGAAACACTGACCTAGAGGAAGAGAGGATCTATCGTATACTTGCTCACTGTATCATTTCTCTCTGTTCTCCACTGGACTATGGGACAGGGACTGCCTGGTTCAAAGAGTAAATGGGGGGAGGGGTTACACCCTATATCATGGGAGAACTCCAATCCTCCAAGAAGTGAAGGCACATGGCTGAGATCTCCGGGGGGTGGGGGAGGGATGGGTTGCAGCGCTCAAGGCCTCAGCCACATACCATGAGTCCGGCCTACTTTCAGTCTGCACTCTGTGCGTATACTCATCCTACCACACCCCTCCAAGAACACTTGTGGGTCTGCACCCCCACCCCCACCTCTCCCAACATCAACTCTATGCCATGAGCCTGAAGGCGCTGAGGCTTCCTCCCCGTTTCCAGTCGGCTCTCCGCGTTTGCTGCCTCCAAAGCTCACCATCCCCTGTGCCTGAGGCCCACTCCCATTTTAGGATCTTGCAGAGCCCAGGACAGTCAGTCGGTGCCCAGTTGTCTGCTGGGGTGGGCCTGGGACACCACGTCCCAGCCAAGCACACCTTTGGCGCCCATCCTTTCTTGGTCTTAGTAGTTTGTAAAACTCGGCATCCCCGAGACGGTGCATAAAATAGGCGCCTGGTGTTTGCTGGGCCTATTTTATGCACCAAGTCCCGGCATTGCACGCAGGAGGCACCTATCCTTTCCTGATCTGAAGTGAGACTTTGTCACAGCGTGAGGCTCAACCCGAGTTCACGGTCAGACGCCTGCTGGCTTGGCAGCTCCGGTCGCCGAGGCCCTCCCGTCCCATAAAAGCTCCCACCCCGCGGTCCGCAGGAGGCGGCCGCCCTCTCCCGCGGCTGCAGGCCCGGCGGCCCCACCCTCCGGCTGTTCCCTCCAGCAGCCGCCCGGCCGCCGCAGCAGGTGCCGTTCCGGCCCGGGGCCCCCTCCCCGCCGGGCCAGCCTTCCCCCGGCTGTTCCGGGCCCAGGGCTCCCTCCCAGGGCTGCCTCTGTCCCGCTGTTCCGGCCCCGAGGCCCGCCCGCCCCGGAGCCTCCTCTCCGCCGCGGTCCGGGTGGAGGCTCCCGCCAGGCCCGGCTCCGCGGCTCTTCCCGCCCGCGCCCCTCCCCCGGCTGTTCCGCCCGGCGCCCTCCGCCCGCGGCCGCCGCGCGCCCTGGGCCCCGCGCTGCGAGGGCGCGGCGGGAGGGGGCGCGGCGCGGAACAGCCGCTTCCCACGCCGCCGCCGCCGCTCACCCTCCAGGGCCTCGAAGATCGTCTGCGCCATCTTGGAGCCGCCGCCGCCGTCGCCGCCGCCACGGGAGCCCAAGCGGGGCCACGCGAGCATTGTGGGAGCCGCGGCGGCGGCGGCGGCGAGGTCGGGGCCGCCAGGGGGCGCCCGGGAGCCGCCGCCGAACCCCCAGTCCTGGAACCTGGCCATGGCCCGGGCAACGCCAGCCTCCCGGGCGCCCCGGCTCCGCCTCGAGGATCCAGTCACCGGAGCGTGTGGACCCCCATCCCCGCCTGATTTGATTTGAATCCCCCAACTTTGCACACCGTCCCGCCGCCGCCGCACTAGACCTGACTCCAACTCTGTGGCGCACACATGTCTCCACGGCAACCCAGACCTTATTCCCACTGCACACAGGCATCCCCCACTTTTGCAACCCCCTCCCCACCTCACCCGGACCACCCAGTTCTGTCCCAAGGACCCCCAGGGGACACAGGGCCCCTGCCCCAACTGTGCAACAGAGTCCCCCCCCTTGTCCTAGACTGCTCATCCCCCGCCCGCAGAGAGCCCTGTCTCTGCCCCGGGGAAGCCACTGTGGCTCCCGGCTCAGCCTCTGAATCCCTCGTCATCCCGGAATTCACCAATGGCCATCGCCTAACCCCCTCCCCATCCACACCTTTTGGGATCTCCATTTCCTCTTCACACAGACCGCCATCCCTGCCTCTCGGTGACCCCATTTCTGTCATATAAACCCCCAATACCCGCTTCTGCACCCTCCGGCCCAGCCCCATAGAGAGCCCATTCAGATCTCACAGGGGCACCCCTGCCCGGTCTTCAGACCCTCACGAGGGCTCACTATACACTGAGTCTTAGACAGCAATGTCTCCGGGAAGGCAGCGGTGCTTTCCCATGGAGTTGGGGGTGGGAGGAGCAAGACAAGCACGGAATCTTTAAAATTATTTAATTATAGCCGGGACCGGTTTGGCTCAATGGATAGAGCGTCGGCTTGGGGACTGAAGGGACCCGGGTTCGATTCCGGTCAAGGGCGTGTGCCTTGGTTGCGGGCATGTCCCCGGTGGGGGGTGTGCAGGAGGCAGCTGATCGATGACTCTCTCTCATCGATGTTTCTAACTCTCTATCTCTCTCCCTTCCTCTCTGTACAAAATCAATAAAATATATTAAAAAAAAAAAGACTTATAAAATTATTTAATTATAAGGTGTGTATTTAATGACAAGGTGTGATAGTGGTTTCAAAGAAGTACACTTGGATGAAAAGAAAGAGTTGGGGTGTGTATGGGATGGGGGGGGGGGGGACGACAGGGAGAGCCCATCAATTGTGATTTCTCTCATGAGCCAAATCTTCCAACTGGGCTACCACAGATTTATCTTTATGTGTTTTCATTATATTTTAGCCTTATCCAAAACAATAATAAAAAAAAATCACAATTTTTATTTTCTTATATTTACTAAATAAATGTATGACTCCTAAAAGTAATATATATATATTCTCATTTGTTCAAAACTCCTCTGTCCTTCTGGAACACTACCAGCCCCTGTTCCTGTTAAATTGCCTTACAGACCCTCTGCTTATGTTATGGGCATAAATGAATATTGGGGACCAGCCATAATTATAAGAAATACCATAGGCCCGGTGCACGAAATTTGTGCACTGGGGGGGGGGGGTCCTTCAGCCCCGCCTGTACCCTCTTGCAGTCCAGGAGCCCCGTGATTGATTGCCCCACAGAGGGAGGTCCCGCCCACCTCCACCGGCCGGTGGTCTGGGCCTCCCTCTGCAGGGTGATGGTGGTCCAATGGCGCCTCACCACCACCACCACCAATTGCATTGCTGTGTCCACCTTGGCCACAGCAGTCAGTGCTGGGTTGCTGTGGCACCTGTGACCCGGGAGAGACCGAGAGGTCAGCAGTTCATCCTGCTCTCCAGTCCCCGCCCACCCGAGCCTGCCGCGTGCACAGCCTGGCGTTCGGTTGTCCATTCTTTCGTTTTGGATGTCACGGACCAAAATATATATAATATTTTATATATTAGGATTAAGCACGTTCTGTTACCATAATAGTCCTGTTCTGATTAGAGAAAGTACATTCTAATGTGGCTAAGAGCTGTCCGCTCTGGGATATGGGAGCTAACATCACAATGCAGTCCATCCTCTTTTCTGAGCGCTGCTATCCGTTGTGGAAAGATTTACAACCTCGTGGCTGAAATCTCGTTCCGGAGACACCCACACTTTATAACCTCCAGCCCCTATTGCCTGTAATCTGGTCTGGAACCCAGGAGTGCCCGCTGGTTGCAAATGCCCCCAACCTCCCACCCACCCACCCAGCCTGCATGACTTGTACTGTCCCCACGCCTGTAATCCCTACATCCCCCATAATCTTTGCCCTTCTAACCAATATAAGCAGCTGGCTTATGGAAGGCTGCCGAGCAGATTCTTGTGGATGACCTGCTGCTCTCCCACGCTGCCGGCAGTATTGGAATAAATGCTCATATATGATTCAACCCTGTCCCTGCTTAATCGGCTGAAGAAGTGACAAGCAGCCTGGACCCCTTGGTTGTCCAGTCACACTTACACATGCTTATTTCTACCAGTTAACTCTCCATCCTGCCCTGAACATTACCCCTGTGCCCCACACTGCTACCTTCTTCCCCTTCCAATCTCCCCCTTTGCACAGTGAGTCCTGAGCAAATGTCCCTCACAGAGAACCCACCCTCCTACCAGACTCCATGCCCCACTCTCTCTTCTGGGAGCTAGGCCTCACCTCAAGCCCGAAAGCCCCCTTCTCACTGCCTCTCTGGCAGGAATAAGGCCGGTGTTCCCTCCTTCCTATCTTTCCTTTAACATCCCATTGACCCAATGGCCTCAGATTCTCATTATCTCTCCTCTGTAAGAATGTTTCCATATAACTGTTCTTTTTAAAAACATTACTCAATATATTAGTACAGTCATGTTAATTTTATTAAAAATCTTTACGGGGTGCCTATTGTGTGCTAGGAGGGACAGATCCATAAACAAGAAGACAGAAATCTTTGCCTTCATGGAGTCATAGTTTAGCAAGCAAGATGGGCTGTAAACAAGAAAAAAAAAATTACATGACTTCAAATAATGTTGGGGGGCATAGAGGAGCCTCCTTTAGGAAGGGTGATTGGGGATGGCTTTTTTGAGGAGGTGGACCTGAGAAATGAGATGGAGTCAGACGGAGAAAAGGGAACAGAGGCCTCAAAAGAACAGAGAGGTCTCTTGGGCAACTGCAAAGGCCCTAAGGTCAGAATGAAAGGAGTCCAAGGCCTGTAAAAGGAGTAATAGGGTAACGAGTGAGGTATGGGTACAGGGGGATGAGGGAGGAGAGATGGACAGGGCCACTGGGAGGCACTGGACAGCAAACAGTTCTACCAACACAAGCCTTGGCAGCTTCCCTCATATTTTTATATATCCAAGTGCATGTACAAATAGTTGATTTTTATCTGCTCTTCAGACATTTCTCTTGCTGTTCTCTCTTGTCAAAATGTCATCTACCACCCTTGGAACAACAGAAGCTTGGCTTCTTGCCTCCTCTAAGAAGCTCTCCCTCGTGTCCTTCGTTGAGGTCCCATCCCTCCCTAGCTGTTCGAGTTTCTTGGCACTACCCCTCATGCGATAATCTTTAGCCCTTGGAAGTTTGACTTTCTCTACCCCCTCAACAGGGGGCCCTCTTAGCCGAGGAGGTCCTTCATCCCTTCTGGTTGGTACCAGGTCCTGGCACAGAGGTAACCTGGGAAATATGCTTGTTGACTGATTACCCTATGGAAAACTGAATGAGCTTACAGGGAGGTTCTCCAGGCAGGCTTGTCCTGCTTCAAACTTTTTTTTTTTTAAGTTTTATTTTATTTATTTATTTATTTATTAATATATTTTATTGATATATTTTATTGATTTTGTACAGAGAGGAAGGGAGAGAGACAGAGAGCTAGAAACATCGATGAGAGAGAGTCATCGATCAGCTGCCTCTTGCACACCCCCTACTGGGGATATGCCCGCAACCAAGGTACATGCCCTTGACCAGAATTGAACCCGGGACCCTTCAGTCCCCAAGCTGACGCTCTATCCATTGAGCCAAACAGGCCTCGGCCTGCTTCAAACTTTTGACTCCTTATCTCCATCTCTTCCAAAATGTATCAGTTCCATGTCCCATTCCCTCAGGGCTAGCTGGTTGGCACTGAACCTAATCCAATAATAGCTTAGAGACTCTTAGAGTAAATAATGTAGAAATTACAGGCGTAGAGCCAAACAGGGAGGCGGGGACATTTAAGAAACTTCCAGCCGAAACTGGTTTGGCTCAGTGGATAGAGCATGGGCCTGCTGACTGAAAGGTCCCAGGTTCAATTCCGGTCAAGGGCATGTACCTTGGTTGTGGGCACATCCCCAGTAAGGGGCGTGCAGGAGGCAGCTGATTCATGATTCTCTCTCATCGATGTTTCTGGCTCTCTATCTCTCTCTCTTCCTCTCTGTAAAAAATTAATAAAATATATTAAAAAAACAAAAACAAAAACAAACTTCCAGCCGGACCAGTTTGGCTCAATGGATAGAGCGTCGGCTTGGGGACTGAAAGGTCCCGGGTTCGATTCTGGTCAAGGGCATGTACCTTGGTTGCGGGCATATCCCCAGTGGGGGGTGTGCAAGAGGCAGCTGATTGATGACTCTATCTCATTGATGTTTCTAACTCTCTATCTCTCTCCCTTCCTCTCTGTATAAAATCAATAAAATATATTTAAAAAACAAACAAACAAACAAAAAAAACTCCCAGTGTCCCCCTCCACAATGATTGAGTGCTCCAGCCACTCCAAAAATGTGAACTTCTGGAGGAGGATCCAAGATGGCTGCTCGGGTAGACACCTAACCGCAGCAGCACACAACAATTTCAATGGAATACAACTAAAATGTAGAGTGGACATTGCCCAGAGCTACAGGTAGTCGACTGACTGAAAATTCTACAACAAGAAGGAGAGAGAAAACCAGAAGGAAAATCAGAGGAGCTGAAAAATCCTAAGGTACTGAGACATGCTGCGCGCTTGCACGCACGCGCGCGTGGAGAGGTCACAGCCGGAGGGGAGGAGAGGGCTGGGTGCTGCCTGGCGTGCCCTAGAAGGACCCCCAGCCTGGGCTGAACCCCCGAACC